CCGTATCTCGTTCCCATTCGGCTTTGAAATTGTTCAGGCAATGGCATTGTTTACCCGCTTTTCTCTGTGTGCATGTGTGTGAGTTATTGTTTCGAGACATGATATTTTACTGTTTTGTTATGGAACTCAACAGGGTATAACCAGGCCCTGCCATGGACATAGTTAAAAGGCACTTTAAGCTCGCATTCTGGAGCACTTTTTTGAATTAAACTGACTTTGTCACAAGTTTAACAAGTATTTAAGTCACTTGAATTAAACAGAAATTGAAGTGGCTTCCTAAGCATTCATTTATTTATTATTTGATTGAAACGTACTACCAAAATAGTTACATAACTATAATTTATTTATGAAATTTGAAATTGATTGTCAGACTATTTCTCAATGATTTTCTACCAAAACATATAAAGTTTTTATTTCAAGAATATTGTTTTAAACTTGCTTACAGAAATGAAAATCTAATTATTTAATAATTATCTAATAATTATGTTTATCATTATCTAGCTTTTACTCAAAAAGACTTATATTCAAATTAGTTTAATAATAAGTACAACTTAAATACCAATGTCAATTTTTTCAGATAACTTTATTATTTATTTGCTTTATTGTTTAAAAACATTACTACCAACAAAGAAAAAGAGGAAATTGTTCATTAATAACTAAAAAGGAGGAGAGCCAATCCTATTTGTACAAACTGTCAAAAGTTGTTTAATGCTTGGATGCCTTGGTTATATTTTCAGTTGTTTAATACCTAATTGCTGTTGTGAACTATTCCAGTTTCCCGTATTTGTATCATTAGGGGTTTTTCAGTTTTCCGCACACGAGGAATCCGAATGTCGGGAAATAGTTTTCCCATGGTTTTTCTTTGCCACTCCTTTCCCTTTTGGCCCCTTTCCTTTTTCTTGTTGCGTACCGCATTACAAGTGACAGCCGCCTGTCACACACACATGTGCTGGGAGAAAGCCACATATACACATATACACACACACATGAGCGGGGAGAAAGCCACACAAACAGGCACATGTGTAGGAGTCGTGCAAATACATACATGGCCATTAGTGTTGTGTTGTTGTCGTTATCATGCACAAAAAAGTTGTCGTCTCTGCTTAACTTAACGCTGCCTTACTCTACTTTACTTGTACGTCTTCCGAAGCCCCCGCCCACCCGCTTAGCACCCCATTTATCCAGCGAGTCTGGAAGTTGAATAAAAGTTTAGATTTTTGAATTTAACACACGTGTTTTATCAACCACTACGCCTCTGCTGTGCATTATTATAATAATAATAACAATAACACCTATTTTTGCAAAATTTTATGAACAAAAAAAATCTTAAATAACTTTGAGATGGTCCTAAATCATATGAAACTAAGATGTTTCTGAAATTTTTGGACCATAAGTTAAATAAAATAATTTTTATAAAGTTATATTGATTTTAAATTTTTTTAAATTTATATTTTGAATTTTTATATTCAACTTATATAATGTAAATTAAAACAGAAGCTTTAGTTTAAATGTTTAAAATAATAAACTTATTAATCGTTAAATATATTTTAAATATATTTCCCACTGTGCTTATCCATGCTGGTCAGAATATTCAGAATGAAAAACTTTAGATGGTCAGGCAAGTGAATTAGAAGCTCAGCCCTTAACCCACAACCCACACCTCGTTTTTCCAGAGTCGCCTTAATTTTCCTTACCCTGCCCACTCCGTACATTCCGCCTGTTAGTTGTTATTTAATTATCATTTTTCATTCTTGTTTCGGGTGTGGAAAATGTTGTCATCGCACATGTTTGGAGAGCTTTGGGATTGGGGTCATAGGTGAAATGGGTGGTTAAGGGGGCCTTGATTCATCTGGGGGACTTTTGTCTGCGAGTATTTTTGGAAATCTTTTGTGTTAGCCCGCCCAATATGCAAATGCAATTATAATTTCATATTTCAATTCGACTACAGTGCGGTACATAATGGTGAAATCCGGGCTTTCTGAACGGGAAGTAAAGAGGAGGAGGCCACATTAAATCGTTTGCGAATATTCATCATCGTCATTATGTTCCTGTTATTTATCTTTAATAACTTCGAATATTAGCACTTTAAAATGTATGGTACTACAGTTGTTATTTTGAAGGCAAAATTCTTTGTCTCTGCGGTTTTTATGCAAATTTTTTCACCTAACGTTGCACTAGATTTCCTTTTCGGTGTTTATCAATTTCCTTCTTCACTCATAATTATTCCCTTCTTTTCTCTTTTTTTCATGTGCTTGTCATTTTTCAATTTCCTATTCTTTCCGAAATTTTCCTTTGGCATTCAGTATTCTTTGCGTTTCCTTAATCGATTTTTCTTCCTTACTTTCTTTCTTCGTTTTCCATTTTTCAATCACTTTTTGGTACTTTCTATTAGACATTTTTTTCCTTTCAATACTTGCTTTTTTAATCGTCCTATTTTTTTAGTAATTTCTTTTGTCCTTGAGCCATTTGAAATTTTGGTTTAATTCACTGTCCACAAAAAGGTCTCATTTCGGTCTTTTACACCTCATATATCATTATAAATTACCTACAATTTTCGAAAACGCAAAAACAAATTTGATTTCTCATATCCCGGTTTGCTTAACTTTCATTTTCACTTTTTTGCCGTTGTGTTTAACAAAGTATCGTATAAATAAACCCAAGAAAACAATAAAATGTCAACTACAATCAATTTTTGGCCCAGGACACCTTTTAGGGGCGTGGTCGAAAGGGTTTTTCCTGCTTGATTTTTCTCATTTCCTTTAGACTTGGCGAACATTTTAATGAGATTTTCGAAATTCAAAGAAATTCAAAACGTTGCTTTTTCAACTTTTCTATGTGTGCGAGACACACTTTCTTTCCTGCGTTTGTGTGTGTGTGTGTGCTGTGGATATGTCCTTGTCTATATTTGTATTTGTGGCAACAGGCAACAAGCCAAGTTAATTAGCAAAAAGCAGATAGCGTCACACAAAAAAGGAGCAACCAACTAAGGCCATCTTAAGGTCTGATTGAGCAGCGAGTGAAAGCGGGTGAAAGGGGGTGAAAGTAGATAAAGGGGGCGGCAAGGGGCGGGTATGAAGGCCAACAAAAACAGGAGGCGGCTGAATTCTGCGGAGACCTCCACTTAAGTGCGGGTTTTTGATGTCGGCGCAAATTGCAAAGAAAATGATTTATTATCTGCAAAAGGCAATTAAGTAAAATTGCTTGAAAATTATTTGCACCCCTTCCCGAAAGAAAAACCAAAACAGAAGCAAAACCAAAATAAATACACAAATGACAGCAACTCTTTTAGCCAACCCCAAAATGAGAAACCACACTTGTGCAAAATATAAAACTGGGAAAGTTAAACACTTTTAATTATTTTAAATGGTTCCTTTTCCAGATTTGGCTTTTAAAAAGTGATTACAAATTATTATAAATGATTTTAGCTGAAAATGAATACATTTTTAAAATTAAACAAAAAAAAGACAAAAAATCGGCTTACACATTTCATAACATAAGAAATTTACACATTAGTTTAGATTTTACAATTTTAATAGTCTTATCAATTAAAAAACCCCTTTTTAAAAGTTTATAAATTATCCAATTTAAATATTTTTAACAAATGTTAACAACTATTTTAAAACTTTCATTGCTGACGCAGCTTTAAATTGTTTATAACATAGTTTTTTTCATTTGTCTTAAAAACTATTTTTTCGCATTACAAAATACAGCTTACCTACATATATGAAACTATTTCACCAATTATTGCAAAACTAAATTCCAATTAAGAACAAAGTTTTTATGGTAAAACTATTTCAAATTCGCAACTAAAAGCTTTAAACTGTAGAGACGCCGAAATAAATGTGGAAGTTGAAAACGTAATTTGAGACTTTTTATTTTCCTGCAAAATAATCTTTTTCCCAGATTTCCGACGACTTTAAAATGTCTTTGCATTTCAAATTGGTATCCCGCCAAAGGAACTCACCTTTCCCTTCGGTCCTCTAATTCCTCCGCTCAACCAACATGATTTATAAGACGAATTAGAAGGAGCCACACGACGAGCAGGAACAAGAGCGAATTAATTACGAATTCAAGCCTGAAGAGGTAATTAATTCACTTCAATTTCTTTCCCTGGAAAGTTGGCTGTAAACCAAACTCGACTCGATTCAAGTCAACCATTTTGTTGAAAGACAAACAAATGCTGGGCTAAATAAGTAAACATGTGCACGCACCTACTAGGACATGAATGAATTCATTGCTTACATTAAGCCAATGATATTTAACATATTTCTTTTAAGATTTTCTCTAAAGGAATTATTTTCGCTCAGGAATTTAGCAGGATCAAGTCAATGAAAAAGGTTGACACTTTCTGTTTATTTTGTCTTTAACACATATGTTCAATATTCTAAGCTTTTCATTTTTTATATTTTCAAAATTACTTATTGATCTTAGGATATTTGTTTATTTAATTATGTTTATATTACTCAAAATAAACTCGGAATCAAAAATTGTAAATTACTTGGTGTTAGAATTCACTCCGAAATTAAATTTAAAAACAACAACTTACAAAATTTAATCCGTTTCCGCTTTAAATAATTTAAAATGTAAACTGTATTCAGTAATATTACAAATGTATTATCAATGTTTTCTGAGTGCAATTATTAAAATTCTTAAGTATTTATCAACAAATTATAAGGATTTTTAAATTTTTCTAATTTTTAATAAGTTATAAAACTTTTTCATACTTAACTATTAAAATTTGGAGGAAGGGATCCACTAATAATGCTTTATCCAATTTATTTATATTTTATGACAATTATAATTTTTGTGTAAGACTGAAAAAACTTACGATTCGCTTTTGAAAGTTTCACTTCAAACCCAATTCCTTTTAAAACCTTTTTTAATCAGAGGCTGTCTAATTTATATCATTTGGTTTTGGCAAACATGGGTCTCTTGGTACGAATGTGTCCCTGTCTACACAGGAATCCGTCATATTTACTTTTGTCAAGCACTCCACTTACCTTTGACTGCGGTGTTTTCTCTGTCTCTCAAGCTTTCTCCGCTTAATCCTCCTCCGATTTGAAACGCAAATGGGATTCAAATATTTGCCACACACACTTTCACTTCGGCTCGGTCGTTTCTTGAATTGGAAAAACGCTATTCAGAACGCTTTTGGCTCACTTGCCAAAGCTTTATATATTCAATTTCTTATCTTAGCACAATAACCAAAAAAAAATTTGTTCAGCACTTTCGAAAATTATTTCGAAAACCGGAAAAAGCAGTAACTGTGCGACTGTGAACTGTGACCAGTGACCAGTGACCAGAGAATTCCGACTGTGATTTGAGCTGTAGAATTTAGAGGCTGAGGCTGAGAACCGCACCGCACGAGAGTCTGTTGACGAATGAGTTCAAACGGGCGATTCGAATCTTTAACAGCGGCAGGACAACAAGTTGTTATGTCCTTAACAGCCCTGTTAACTGGCCTGTTCAATTGGCAAAGGCTAACAGCGGTGAAAGCTCCGAAAAAAAGAAAGTTTAGCAGGTGCAAATTCAATGACAAAAGTTACGATTTCTGCCGCCAGATGGCGACAAAAAGCAAAAAGGAATATTAAGAAAGGTCTTAAATAGAAAATAAAATTGTTTTTCTTTTCTTATTCATATTTTTAAAGACAAAATATTTTAAGAATTACAAAACTATCAGTCAAAGCGAGTTCTTTCTTGAAATCTCGTTTTTTCCAAGTAATGATTTACGATTTTTAATAATGTTGGTCAATTATAAACACTCAAGACCTTACTTATAAACACAAAAATCCATTTATTGCAAGATACCCCAAAAACTCCAAATAAAAACGGAAAATTGTATATATTTTTTTCAAATTTTATTGATGTTTTTTTGTTGTAAGAAAATTTTTTCCTTATTCTTCGGTCGACTTCCTGCGACTTCTCTAGCTAAAAAAAACTCACTTCAACATCTATCCTTCCTAACAGAAAAAGAATGACAGTCAAGATCGGAATTGGATGGGCAAATGCAAATTAAAACACAAATTGATTTGTAATAATAGGACTAATTTAAATTTATCGTACAGTTGGAAGGGTTTGTTGCCTTACATCTCAATCAATCCATTTTCACATATTCCTTATAGTTCGACTCATTCTCTAAGCTGCTCCTCTTTCTATAATGTGTCTTCAACAAACGAAGACAATTTCACAAAGGAATTTCTATAGGTTTCATTTTTGTTGGATTTTTAGTTTGTTTTTCGTGTTTGGAGTATGTGCAGTTGGGCATTTTAAAGTTCAAATTTCTAAAACAAAACTGTGTAAACATTGGTTCGTTATTCGTTATTCGTTAAAGACTAACAATCTCGCGATAGACGAAAAAAAAATTATGATAGTATCTCTAGAAATGATCGAACATGATATACATAACTAATTAATTACGAAACTGTATGCTCTGCTCCCTACAGGATGAAAATGGGTTTTGTTGGGGGTTTGCTGTTGCTGCTCCGGCTGCCGCTGATGTTGTTGTTGCCGCAGCCGCTCTTGGTGTTGTTGGGATATGTGCAGTCTTGAGCGGATTGACTTAGTCGTCGCCGGCGGAGCGCTTGACCTTGCGCTGCTTGGGGCTCTGCTGGCTGGCGGCCTTGGGACTGGCCTGCTTGCCGGGCTTTGGCGAGGTCTTGGGCGTCTTGGACTTGGGCGGGGATTTCTCTGCAATAAGGTAAACATTCATATGTAAGTATCATTGAAGAATTCGTATCGAGACGGAGTGGGTATAATAGCACGTTGAAAAGACTAATTACTTTTATTCTATTTAAATATATTTTTGACTTTTCCAACTAAATAAATATCAACTTCTAAAATTTAAAGATTTCTAGAATTTCTTGTAATTTTTTTATAAATGTGAATTTAAAGAAATTGCATATTTACACCCTGTTTAAATGCTTCTTATTTCACGGTTCAATTAAGAGGTTTCTGGTGATTCCTGCGATTTTACAAAAATCAAATTGAATGCCTTATAATGATCTATACTTTTAAATTTTAACTTTTGCCTATAAACAATATGCATAAATGTGATAATATAGCAATTTGGAGATTTTTGCAGTTTTAGTGCTGTTAATCCCCGTCCCCGGCTTCTTTTGGTTTTCAATGCTTACGCAGCGCTCGCAGCGTTTCCTGGGGCACCCAATCGTAGTCGATGTTGCTGTCGTTGGCGGTTCCAGTCTCGATCACCTTCTTGGCGGCGGCACGCTTGCGCTTGCCGGAGCTGCCCAGCAGGTACTGCTGTCCGATGACAAGGAGCAGGACAACAATGCCTGCCAGCAGGACGTACAGGAAGAAGGTCTCGCCGTCCAGACCCTCATCGACCTCCGAGATCAGCACGGTCTCGTTGAAGACAGCCTCGTTGTACTGAATGCCATTGGCATCGCGGTAGGCCAGAGCAATGTTCAGTCCGAAGGGACGGCCGGCAAACTGGTCCGAGGGCAGGAAAGTGTACGAAACGGTCGACTCGAAGCCGGGCTTAACCTCGCGGTTGTAGGCCACCGCCGAGAAGTTCTGGATGAAGTAGTTGAAGTCCATGGGATAGCGGAAGGAGGCCTCCACCGTCTCGATCACAAACTCCTCGGCTCCCTTGTTCGTGAATCCGATCAGGAACTCAACGGGCTTGCCGCCGGGAAGATCCAACTGCTGGCCAGGTGTGTACAGAGGCTTCGTGAAGAGCAGGTAGGTGTCCGCATTTGGCGAGCTGCTGCTCCCCGAGTCGCTGTCCTCATCCGCTTCCGCATCCTCGCCGGTCACTGCTCCCTCCTCGCTGTCCACGTCAACCAGGTCGTCCTCCACCGCCTCGGCGGCATAGGCACCAAACTTGTTGGCTGTTAAATAGAAAACAGAGTAGCTTATAATATGTGATTTGGGCAAACATGGTATTTTCATTATGACAATATAGTAGCCCCCGAGGATCAACAACATTAGTACAATATTTTGAGCACATCAGTGAAATGATATACTTTACATATTGTAACTACAATATGATTATGTTTATATTTATGATACATCATTATCTTTAGAATCGTGGAAGTAGAGTTTGTAATAATAATGTCTATTAATTAGTTTATAACCTTGATATTGATATGTAACTAGGTCATATAGCTATACGATTTATATAAAAAGAGTGATGATGACTTGAAAGCGTCTTAAACAAAAATGGAATATAGTTTGAAACCTTGACATGGAGAAGCAGCTCTATAAATCAATTTAAAACAGCATTTATTTGACAAGTGTGGGATATAGTTGACAGATTTATATGAAATTTGGCTATATTGCTGGAAATCTTTATAAAAAACATAGTTTGAAGTTTGAAGCGTTGATCTTGAAAAACAACCGAAATATGTCCCATCCAAAACCCGCAAATCACGAGTAAGAGCGAGAGGGCGAGAGAGGTATCATGCCAACTCAACAGTTTTTCGACGGGCTAATGCAAATCGGACTCTTAAGATGAATGAAAATCGCCGAAATACTTTGATAACCGTGGATTTTGATCGATTATAGCACCAACATAGAATCCACGTAGCAAGTGCATATGCCACGTAGACGTACCCCCGCCCCCCCTTCCGAAACGATTGTTATTTGTCGGAGATTCGTGTTCAATGGGAACTCTACTTACGCGCCGAGAAGGTGCAAATAACGATGGGCAGGACCATCAGCATTAGGAACATCAAATGCCTCATCTTGCTGGCTTTTCCTTTCCTATTTGGCTCCAATTAAATACGCGGCACACGGAATTTCGGCTGGGAAATCGGGGAAAACACACGCACACACAACCTTCGCGATCGAGTGAAAATGATAGAGTGACGAAAACGCGGAATAGCGGCGAAAACAGAGGCCGAATGGGCACGAAGTCGACACGACTTTCACTGTCAAATGTCTACGTGGTGCCACGTCTAGGGTTGCCAGGTCATCGCATTTGGGGCGGTGAGTTTATCTTTCACCACCTATTTCACCTATGAAAATGTTGTCTCTTATCAAACCATCAATTAAACAACTAATTAAATAATTGCAAATGCATTCCCTCATACTTGAATTCATTATTTAAATCAATATTTCAAGTATTTTGCTCTCTTTTCATCCCTTGGGCAACTCTGACTTGGGAGGTAGTGCTTCAAAACGCCACAACTGTCAACACTCGTGTTTGAGCAATTTGTTCACTAAAAATACAAATAACAAGAAATCCTTACACAATAAGATAACAAAAATAGCCTTAATTATATAGTTTTACTAGCATAGAACAATTTTCAGCCGCCGTAAAACCTACATGCAGCGTTTTATAACACTTTCTGCCTATCGGATGTTACGGCTACACAGTGCTGCCAACTTAGCTGATTCTACCGCACTTGCTATTTAAAAAAAATAAATATATGGCTATCCTTGAATGTCCATTGGACCTGGGCAACTATTCACTGGCCGGCGTCTATTGATTTGCTAGAATCAATTAGCCAAACTAAACAATTTATTATTATCCATTTATTTGTTTCCAATTCGAGAGCAAAAGAAAATAACAATCAAACCTATGTTTTGGTTCCATTTAACGTACTTTTTTTGTGACTGACTAGTGAAAATTGTCAAGGGAAGCGAACAATATAAAAAAGCTTTGAAGTTTTTCAAGAAACCAAACTTCTATTGGAATTTAAGTGAAAAAATGCCAATAGAGCGGACGTCTAATTTAAGAATATATTGTATGCTTAGCGCTATAATATAAGTTTACTCTATGGCTTAGACCGTTAAGCGAGTAAAATAAATTGGGTAGTAAATTAGTTACCAATAAAATTTGTAAAAACAACGCTTTTGTTTTTATATAAACAATTATAAGGTTTTTAATTTTCAAAATTTGGCTATTTTATAGCCGTCTCTGTTTAATCGATAGTTGGCAGCGCTGTCTATCGCACCTATCGCGTCGCTTGGAGCGCAGCCAACTTCACGTCGCCGCACCGATAACCGCTGAACTTCCTTTTTGCTTGCGGCTGTCAATTGAAGCGCAACTTGCACGTGAATTCTCTGCGAATTTAGCGATTAAATATGGATAAACCAGTTGTTTGGGCACGCGTGATGAAAGTTCTGGGTCGCACCGGATCCCAGGGACAGTGTACCCAGGTGAAAGTGGAGTTCATCGGCGAGCAGAACCGCCAGATCATCCGGAATGTGAAGGGACCCGTTCGTGAGGGCGATATCCTGACCCTTTTGGAGTCTGAACGCGAAGCCAGGAGGCTGCGCTAATTGGCGACCCACTCGAGAAGGTAGGTCACATCGTTTGAACCCCATTAAACCCAGTTTGTAACCCTTTAATCTTCTTTCCACAGACCTTTTTATACACACTGTTTTTGCACGCGGCTTTTTGGAGCGGAGGTAATGCGGAGAAATCCGACGGAGGCTGCTGCATATTCGTTATAAACAAATGAAAATACACACCTAATTCGCCAGAAAACAGCCAAAATGTGTTTTAAATAAATCTCGAGAGCATTGGAGCGCCTTTGTACGAAAAGAAAAAAACCAATCAAAGCTGTGTTTTGGTTTCATTTATCGGACTTTTTTTTTTGTTTTTGTTGAGTGACTAGTGAAAATTGTCAAGAAAAGCGACAGGAATGTGCAAATTTCTCAATTGCTTTGTTACTTTCCGACTAATATGTTTGGTTTTCTGAAAAATAGCAAAGCATTTCTATTGCATTTTTATATGGCAACATGCCGATAGGGCGGACGGCTCTAAATCGATATATACGAAAGGATTGTGCAATTACATTGGCTTTCTTAAATAATATGCGAAAAATGCTTGTGAAATTGAGGTAGAGCCTACTGCTCATATTAAATGAGTAGTTCTCAAAAGAAAATGAATTTTAGATGGAAAGGGGCGATCTTATTTTAAGTTTAAATCTGTTAGTACGAGGACTCTATCTATAAATGAAGTCCCAAAAGAATTAATAGTTTTCCATAGAAATTTATTAGTTCATTCCCGCAATCAAGATATTTCTGTTTTTTAATGCTTCTAAGGTGCTTGTTTTTCCTTGACAATTATTTGGTTTTTAAAAAACAATCACTCCCATTGATTAAATAAAATATATGAGTATGTTTGCTATATCTAGTTTGAAAAAATGTATCAAACAAAGCTTATTGAAGCAAACTTCCTAAATTTAAAGTTTTCAAACTTTCAAATGATTTTGTCAAATTTATAAATAATTTATTTGTTTTCCCACCGCTTGAAGTTTCATATAAAGTTTTTTTGGCAACTTGTGCCTAAAAAATATGCATAAATACGTTTCAAAATAATTAAATAATTAATTGATATTTTTTATAAATTTGTTGTTTTTTAATACTTAAAACTATATTCTGTATTCTTTTTGTCAAAAATATGTTTAGTCTTTTGTCACAAATAATAAAAGTACGAAGCTTTAAACTCAATAGCAAATATAAATAACAAAGAATCAGGAAATTGTTGCTTTAATGAAAACATTAAACAAACATATTTATAACATATATACATATTTATGTAAATATGAAATGATTGTCTCAATGGCATGTATAAGATACGCTTTTAGTAATTAAGTTGACTTCACACTACAAATTCAGTGGAAAGTTGGCCGGTCTTTCAATTTTGGCCAAGCCCAGGGAAATCCGGGCTTCTGTGTGTTCCGGCATTATCAGATCGGATTTGAAAGCCTCCAGATAGGATTCAGGTGCCATAAACTGGGGTTGTAGCTGGCGAAGATTAAGCTCCAGATATTTGACGTGATTCTGCATTAATTTCAGCGATTCCTTCAGGAAATTCCGAAACTCTGTTAAAACTGCGGGAGTTTTGGTCTCATTTTGCTCTTGACTTAGGTTTAAGCACTCTATCTCGAAATCGCTTAGTTGGGCAGATATTTGCACTAGCTTATAATCTAGTGTTAATCTGTTAAATGGAAAATAAATGAAATCAGGTGAGTTTCTGTCGAGGATTAAGTCGTTTACATGCTGTCCTGAAGGTTTTGGTAAGCATCCTGGCACACAGAAAGAAGGGCAAAAGTGGCAGCTTGATTGGTTCTATAATTAAAAGATATATCAGCTTAATTTTACGAGTTTAAATCGAGTTTTTTTTACCCCTTAACCAGCCGATATCGTTGACTCAGTTCCCACAAACGATTCGCTTGATTCGACAATTCCGTTGTTTTAGATGATTTAAACGCTTGGTAAATCCTTATACTGGTGGCCAAACGCTTTAGCTGTTGCTCCAAATTGGTTTTATAGTGCTCCAAACGATCTGGCGCCAATAACATCGCGGAAATGCCTAAAAAGTTAACAAAATTCTGTAATTTGTGCGGCACATGGCATAGTGTTAGTTAGCGGCGATGGTGGAACATGCTGCGGCCAGGTGTTGCTAAACGTCCCGATGTCGATATATATCGTAAAATTTTTAAAAATATTAAATTAAATGATTTAATATTTTTATTTATGTCAAGACACATAATTGAGCTCAAAAAATTTTAATATTTAATATTTTTTTAATAGAACTGCGAAATATTTCGCAAGAGGTCAAAATATAATCCATAATTTTGAAAATACATATAATAATTAAGATTTAAATTAATTTTGTTGGAACAAAACTTATATTAATAAAAAAAAGTTATATTTGTAAATTAAAGCTATTCCAAATTGGCAAATAAATGTTTATCTTTACGGTCTTCTCAAATGAAATAATTTAATTTGGTACTAAATCTTAAAATATAGACCCATACTGGGTTCCTTCATTGCCGAAGCAATAACATATAACTGTAAATAAATTTCATAAATTTAAGTAATCAATGCAAAACGTTAAAACAATGAAATTGCGCTTTCTGAAAAATACACTTTCTTATCTTGCGAGCACTATCTCTACTTTTAACTATATACTTTTATTATATGTATATACTGACAAAAGCTGATCTTATAAAATTACACATAATATGAATCGGACATTCAGTTCAGTTTATATCTGGGTGGAGGTGAAACAGTGTAAACGTAATGAAATCTCTATTTTTTGTGATTTTTCTGACGTTTTTAAATTTGGGGGAACTATCTTCAACCGATGCAGATTTGCAGCAGGAAAATTCCAATGATAAAAAAGAATGTAATTCGTATTGTTTTTGGGTTTTCAAACCCGTTCTCGACCATTTTGTACAGCTAAAACAAGAAAGTGATACAAACAATGAACTAAAAGCCAATATAAATACAATGGAAAAAACTATTCAGGATCTGCAGAGTCGGTTGGCAATTTCCGAGAGTAAAGTGAAGAGCAAAGATGAGCAAATCTCTGACCTAAAGAATCATATCGAATCGCTTAAGAAAACGATATCTGAAGGATCCAATCAGGAGGAATTTTTGCCAGAGACATGTCCCCTAACCGGTTCCAATGGCATTTACCAAATAAAGCCGCGAGGCATGGAATCCTTTAAAGTGCCGTGTGTTGCACCTACTCCAGGATGGACAGTGATTCAGAGACGTTTTGACGGATCCGAGAACTTCAATCGAACCTGGGAAGACTACAAAAATGGGTTTGGGGACATAAAAGGCGAGTTTTTCATTGGGCTAGAAAAAATTCACATACTAACCAGTATGCAACCACACGCATTGTACATCAAGCTTGGGAAAGTTGATGGGACCAATAAATACGCTAAATACGATGATTTTATTATTGGTAGCGAAGAAGAGTCTTATGAACTTAAAATGTTAGGACGGTATTCTGGTACAGCCGAAGATTCGTTAAAATATCATGAAAAAAGCAAGTTCAGCACATTTGATCGAGATAATGACGAGTCGGATTCAAATTGCGCTGAAAATCACCCTGGAGGTTGGTGGTTCAATAAATGTGCATATAGGTATTATTACTTAAATTAAAATTAAACTATTGCACTAACCATTTAAATTTGCAGTTCGCTTAATGGAATGTACTATAAAAATGGTACAAGAGAAAGCAATGAAAAGTATGGTATTCTTTGGGGCTCCATGCATGAGTACGACTACAATATATCGCTTACCTCTGTTGAAATTCTGATTAGGCCCAGAACCATATGAGCACAAATGTTCAATCTTTTAAACTTTATTATGAAAGATATACCATATAGACCTTTGAACAGGTTGTTTAAATAAATTTGCTCTATTAAAAGAAAACTTTAAAAGTATTTGTATATAATGTTAAACTATTTTAAAAAAGGGTTAAGGCGTTAAAGGAATTTTTATTTATTTTCTTCAATAACCAAATGCTTAATTAAATCTACACCTTAAAAGCTTTTGAGGCCTGAAAAACATTAATTTGATTTAGATACGTTCATTGCCATACAAAGTAGAGTTTCATTTAAAAAATCAAGTACGCGGGTACTTTGTAGTCGGCGTAGACCCCGGAGAAACGAATCACCCAGCCGACGCCATCGTAGTTGACCGTTTTGTGGAAGCGGACCTCAACTCGACTGCGTAGGCTCTTATAGAACTTGGGGTTGTCCTCACCACAGAAGCGGCGCACCTCCACGTCAGGTTCACCGTCATTCGGTTCCACGATAGTCAGATAGTCCGTGTGACAGGTGCTCCTCGAACCCAGATTGAAAACTGAACCGGAAACGAAAAATATGCAAAATAAATACACTTGTTTCAGGCTGTTTAAGTAGTCACTTTTCCAACTCACCCTCAAAGCTGAGCAGTACTTTATTGTTGCTGGGCACTTGGATGGTCCACTGGCACTCGGAGTTATTGCGCACATTGGCCGGATAGAAGGGATTGGAGAAGATGCCATTAGTGTTGTAGAAATGTCCGCCGCATCCGGGTCCCTTCCCCACGGGACTGGCCAGATAGGTGAGATCCAGCGTGGTCAGATACGAGCCCGTCCTCATGTGCAGCCGCAGCTCATCCACATCGCTGAACAGACTCTTGCCCGCATCCACAAAGGAGCAGACGTGCTGCAGGGATCGATTGGTCCTGTCGAAGACCTCCATGCTCTCCACCTCGCAGTCGTAGGTGGCGAAAACCACTTCGTTGTAGTACAGACTCAAGGTGTGATTGGGCGGTGCCCGGATCATGATGTCGCAATCGGTGGTCTGCATTAGACGCACTCTACCCTGCAGCCCCCCGTAGTGGCGCTCGGCGTTGGAGGTCAGCGAGACCTGCAGCTCGAATCCCGCTCGCTGCTCCAAGGCCTTCGACTGGAACTTCAGGAACACCTTGTTCGCATTCGCGTAATAGGTGTCCGGCTTCAGTTTGCCGCAGTACACGTGCTCCGGGATCTGCTTGATGAAGTCGTTACCGTGCACCTGGCCATTGATGATTAGGTCGTTGCCCTCTTCCACCAGCTGGGCGTCCTGAAAAGTGATAGAAATGGGAAGCATTTGTGGTCATTTATCTTTTAAAAAGCAGTTCAATGAGAAGTAACTTAGTCCAGAATTATCATTACAAAATAACGTTAATAAAAACACAATTGTAGAGAAATAAACACTTATGTATGTTAAACATGGGTAGCATTCATCAAAATGTCATAAAATCGATCAAAATATTATCTAAATCTTTGAATGCAGATGCTTACAGAATTAAAACACAAACTTTGAATGGTAAACCACTTTGAAATCGGATGTCTCTAAGAAAAGTTATGAGCTGAGAAGTGCAGTTTTTTGGCACTTTTCCGCAAACCCATTTTTCGAAAATTTTGAAACATCGTTAAGAATGACGAAACACTGGCCCAAAAATACAAACCAAGATTTAAGCACAGATTTTTGTAGAATAAAATCAGAATCATTTAGAAGTAAATTTGAAATCGGACTTCTGTACGAAAAGTTATGGGCTTAGATTTTGAACGGATCCTCACCTCGCCATTGTAAATCTTGAGGTAGTCTTCCACACAGCGTTCGTTGGCATCGGGTTCATGGAGATCGAAGTTTACGAAGCGCACACTCAAGGGCACATCGCCCTCGATTTGCCAGAAGCAGGACACTCCATTGCCGTAGTTTCCGCCCGGCGTTCTCGCAGGAGTGTTGATGGTGACCTGCTTGAGTCCATCCCCGCTCAACTTGATGCTCGAGCTGCCGCAGATACGGGGAACGGCATTGATGATCACCTCGAAACCTGAGTCATTCACCTGGTCATCGGTGAAGAAGCGCAGGAATAGCGTGTGCCTGGTTGTGATCAAGGTGGGTGGCTGATCCTGGCCGCAGAAACGACCGATGCTATCGGCAAAGGGTCCCGCGCCATCCCGCAATTCCACATAATCCTTGATGCACCCATTCGACAGTTCCACATGGAAGTTCTGGAACTGTACACTGATCTGCTGATCCGAGTTCACCCGGAAAACGATATGGCAGTCGAGATTGTGTTCATAGCCGTCGGCGTTGTTGAACTTGCGGTACACATATCGCGAGGATCCGTTCAGCGAGATCTGTTCGTCGCAGTTTGGCATAAATCGAACCACGGCGCTGAATCCCCTCGACGGATCTCGGTCATCCGAGTAGCTGTGAATGATGCCCCGATCCTGGGGAATACTGATTATCGGTAGGTCCTCGTTGATGTGACCGCAGAATCGTCCGCGCCTCTGCCGTACGTCGGGAATCGATCCGGAGAAGACCTCAACGCCGTCGTAGGCGCAATCGGTGTGCCTCTCGAAGTCGAGGAGCTCGAACTTAATGGTGATCTTGTGACCCGCGGGTGCGGTCAGGTTCCAATAGCAATCACTACTTGGTGGCAGGGTGTTATCCGCATGCTGTCTAGGTGATGTGATCTCTGAAGCTTGGGAGATAATACCGCCACAAAGGCGGCTGGTATACTTCAAATGGAATCCCCGACCGCTGTGGGAGGCGTCTGTTTGGAACAGGATATTTATGGATTCCTTGGCCCGATAGTTGTGGTTATACTTCACGCCACAGAGAATGGCCTGTTCGGCATTTTCGCCCTTATCCTTGGTGGTCACAGTCACATTGTCGAAGCTGCAACTGGGAACGGGCGACTTCTCAAGGTCGAAATCTATAAAAGTGGCCAGGACACCGCCCATTGAGGGATTCCTGGGCACTATAGTCCAGTTGCATTCCAGATATTTCTCATAGCTCAACGGGTAACCCGGACTGAACAGCTGCTGATCCTCTTCGTCGGCATATAGCAGACCACCGCAATTCCTCTCCAGCTTGGCCAAAAAGCCATCGCCCACCACATCGGCATCGGATCGGAAGATCAGGCGCAAATACGGAGCTGTCGTGTTGATCATCTCCGGTGGAGTACGACCGCAAATCCTCTGGAGATCGGTCCAGTTGCCAGCCGATTCATTGCGCTGCTGGACGAGCAGATAGTCCTTGGTGCAGCCGGGGCTGTCCTCGATGTAGAAGCGACCCTGGAAAGTGAGACCGATGTGGTAGCCTGTCGCTGTCTCCACCTCCCAGATGCACTCCACATTGTTCTTGTACTGCTCACTGAAGTCGATGGCCCGATACGGATGGGTCAGCTTGCCACCACATCCCGACCCGTACTTGATAGAAACATTGAAGGTGGCATTCGGGGAGAAGGCATTCGAGTGGTATTCCAGGAAGAGACCGCGCTCGACCACCAGGTTCGAATCGGTTGACTGGTTGCAGTAGAGTCCCAGCAACGGTGAGTTCTGATCGGGTCCATTGTACACCTGCACAGAAACGAGTTTATAGCGGATTAAAGCGATGTTTATCAATCTAATATTATTATAATAATATTTTATAATAATATCAAAATAATATTTGTCAATCAGATATTACAAAATAACATAACATAAAAATCTCATATAATGCCAAATAAATATTTTTAAAATTCATATTATAAAACCAAAAAATTAAATAAAACATTCTGATTTTATAATATCAAATATCAGAAAAAAAAATTGTTTAAGGGTAGCAGTGGGAATTGAGCTTGCAACTCTTTTACCGTAGTTATACAAGTATTAGTATAATGTTTGCCAAAATAAAAAAAAACAACTTTACCTTGAGGTAGTGATCCTCACAGGGGGAAGCCGTGTATCCTACAGTCGCAGGCGGAGTGGGCAGGTTGACCTGCACCGACAGCTCCAGCTGGATGTCCTGAGGCACCTCGTCCTCGCCGCTGGGATCCGTATAGGGTCCAATGGCCCAGGCACAATCGATGGCATCCCTAATCGCCTCCATTCCCGATGGCTGTCGCACTGTCATATTATCGCCCGGTTCCAGGATGAAGGCGCCGCCGCAGGGCTGCATGCTGTAGCCCAGCACGAGATTGGTCATCAAATTGCGACCGTTGGCCGAGACCGTCAGTTTGATGGGGAAGGGCACCCGAATGGATGGCGGCATCTTGCCAGGACTGTGGGCGTTGTAGTCGCAGAGAAATCGCTCTAGTAGAGCCTTCTCGTCGTCCACGCGGAAGAATTTGAGCGGCGAGTACGTGCTGCAGGTTACACTATTCATCATCCTGACGGTGGTATTGAACTGTTTCACCTGAAAGGAACAATCAATTTATCATTTTCTAGTGGGCTGATACCCTGTTCACCTGATCGTTTGTTCATTTGTTCATTTGCTCACTTGAGTGAACACTTTTCAGTAAATTCACTCCTCTTTTACAACTGACTAACAAGTGATTATTATTTTCCAATTGTTTTGTTCTCAACTTTCCAACCCAACGTTGAGAAGACAGTTGACAAACAAATCATGATTCAAAAATACTGATCAATCAAATGAATAAGACACCCATTAAACAAGGGGCAAAATCAAGTGAATGACAGAAAGCGTAAAATAATGAGCTGACAAGCAAAGTGAACAAAAATTTATAATCATAACATTTTTTGAACTGTATCTTATTAATCGCGTAAATTACCTGAATCAGGATGGTGCTGTTTTCCTCCGGTTTCAAATTGTAGCTGCAGTGAGTGGGACTGCTGATATTGAGTCGCTGGAATCCTATTTCCCTTATCACATCCTGTTCGAAGGCAAATTGCTGGCACGCACTGAAGCCGAAGGCAGTGAATCGCAGCTTGGCCCCACGACTCCGTCTAAAGGGCAGGAGTAAGACATCGATGCCCATCGTATTGTCGGAGGATACCACCGACGCGGGCGGATTGCTGGAGTAGCGCCCCAAGATGGACTGCATATGGTGATCGTTGGCCACGAGAAGTCGACCGGAGAACGACATAAAAGCGCGGTGGCTCCCGCCCTCCACATCAAAGTCGAGGATCTCCAGGCGCACCCTCTTCCCCTTGGGCACTTCGAGTTTCCAAGAGCAGTGGATGACGCGTGTCACTCCCACCGGATAGTCGGGGGTCTGGAGAACTCCGACTGAAGCGCGGATGGTCTCGCCACAGCGGGAACCCACCGAGCTATAGCTGAAACTGAAGCCCTGATTCTCCGCCGGGATGCCGTCCAGGAAACGATATCGAAACACTATCTTGTTGGTCTCGCTCATCAGGTGTCTAGAATCATCACCACAAACCATTAGTGTGTCCACGACTTTCTCTTCGTCATTTATCTCCTCCAGGAGCAGATGGTACCGCTCCGAGCAGTTGCCGTTCGCCAGCTTTGCTATATTTAGATGCGTGCTTTGCAAATCAATGGAGCTGCCCTTCTCCAGTTCGACGGTGTACACACACTCATTCAGCTGGTTGGCATCGTTGTGGATCTGGAGGAGATTGGGCGGCGGCGAAGCTATGATGCCTGTGGGACTGTAGTAGGAGCCACCGCATCGGGCCAACTGCAAACTGGCATTGAAGCCCTTGTGCGGCTCGGTGACATCCGTGTAGTAGCGGATCCTCAGTTGATTGCCAGTGGAGTAGACCGTGTCCGGCTTGCGACTGCCGCAATAGCGTCCGATCTCCGGTTTTAATTCTGTAGCGCCATCGCTGACCAGTACGTATTCCCGCTGGCATTCCTTGGTGCCCTCGGACAGGTCAGTGGCTTCGACCAGATCGAATTCACCATGGAAGTGCAGCATTATTCGGTGTTCTGGCGGCGCCTGAACAATCCACACGCACTCGGAATGGGGATGCGGGAGATGGGGGTAAAAGGGTGTGCTGATGAGATTAAGATCCGTGTCGGTGGTGAGCTTAATTCGGCCGGAGCAGGCGTGACTCACTTCCTCAAAGCGGAAGGTCACCTGAAAACGGTGTAGCAACGCCATGTGGAACTTTACATAGGCCCTATTCGAGGTGGTTTCCAGGACATCGATTGTGTCACCCTTGCAGTATTTACCTTTGCCCAGAAAGGGTGAGTCCTCATCGTTGCCATTGCGTATGATCAGGAAGTTAGCACAGGGCTTCGATTCGTCTGACGCACTTGTATCCACCTGGAATGTGGGGAAATCAATCTTGATCCTTCGCCCCTGCCGCACCTTCAAAGTCCACACACAATCCTGGCTTCGCAGGGCACCGACCAGCATAATCTCCGTAATGTTGACCTGACCCTTGGAGGCAACAACCTCCGAACCGCACATCGTTTGCCCAAGGCCCATGAATCCCGTCTTATTCAAACTGTTATCGGTGATGAACTTCACCCGAAGATAGGGATTTCCGTGGATGATTCTCGCATTCGGATCCGTCGGCAAGGTGCACAGCTTGCTTCCATCCGACCAGTTCTGCAGATCGCTACTGGTCGAGATCTGCACATAATCCGCCAAGCATTCGTTGTCCCCGCCAAACACCTCTAGATCTATATTGCTGAGTTTTAAAACCGCATGAGTGGCCGGATTGGAGGGCACTAACTTCCAGGAACAGTTCAGACCATTTTCGTAGCCATTGGGATAGCCCGGCGAATGAAGTGCGATGGCCGATCGACCGATGGTGACCAACTGCTGGCCACACAGACGCGTCTGCTCATCCGCAGTGCGGTTCGAGCGCAACTCATCCTTGGACAGCCGGGCCCAGCTCAGCTTGAAGGGACCTCGGCTGGCCGTGAAGTAGACCACATTCGTGCTGGAACGGATGGGTTCGCTCGAATCCGTCACCGCGATGCGAGCTCCAATGTCCGAATAGCCGTCGTAGATCAGCAAATGCGGCTGATCCAGATCCCTGAGGTGCTCCACTGTTATCATCACCACGTACTCCTTGTCCACGGTGATACGCCAGCTGTACGGATTTGAATCTTGGAACTTGCTCGGATAGTGCGGTGACTCTATGATGCCGTCAGTGCCATTCAGCTCGTTGTGGTGCTCTGAAAGCAGTGTTATCAAAAGCAATAAATAGTACATCATTTAAATAATACATCGTCATAAAAATAAAAGTGTCTTAAAACCGAGTTAGAATAGATGGCACGATGGGACTTGGTAGACATAATATAAACTCACCGTAGTTGTAGGAGGCCAAGAATCCCTCGCCCACATTATCGTCGTCGCTCTTGAACTTTATCCAGATGGAACCTCGCGAGTGAATTGCTCCGGGCACATCATTGCCGCAATACACCCCAATGAGTTCACCCCTCTCCGAATCCTCGCGCACCTCCAGATAATCCCGATTGCAGTTCTCCGACTTCTCCATGTCCATTGACTCCAAGGTCAGACTAAGGGAATTGCCCAGGGTGGCTGCCAGAATCCAGACGCACTCAATATTTGGTGGATACGAGGCGGGGTAATACGGCGAGCTAAATCGGCCGGACAAGGAGTTATACAAGCTGCCACAGGCCGTATCCATGGTCATGTAGTTTCCCTCGAACTCCTCCACCAACTGGAGGGGCACACTAATGACCAGCGACTGGCCATTGGAGATCAATGCCGCTGGATGCGAGCGACAGTATCGGAGTCGGGGTGTTCCGGTGGCCTCCGTACCCTCGTAGATCTTCACGCCCACCGGGAGGCAGTCGCCCTCCGTGGGATATTGGCTGTCGGCATCATCGCGCAGCTTGACATGGGTGGGCGTGAAGATGATGCGTTTGGTGGGGTCCTCGGCCTGGAGCACCCACAGACAGCTTTCGTTCCGCGGCGACTGTCTAGTCATCTCGATGTTATCGTAGTCCGTTTCGTCGATTGTAATCTGTTTAAAAATCAAAAGAAAATTGTATTAGACATTTATAAATTGGCTCTTTTAAAAAATTAATTACATACACAAACAAAAATGACTATTCAATTTAGCTATAATTGCTTCGTCAATGCCAAGTATTATTGGAAACCCTACCGTTTGGCCACAAGACTCGTGGAAGTTAAGTTGGAAGCCCTTGCTCGAGAGGGAATAGTCGCTGATGAATCGCACCACTGCCAAGTTGGTGGTTGACATCAACATGTTTGAAGGTATTCTATCGCCGCAGACCTTGAACAGGCTCGGACCCTCGGTGTCGTCTTCGGCCAGATCAAAGGCTTCCAGATAGTCCCAGTCGCATTGGAAGCCCATCTCAAGCTCCAGGTCCTCGATCTCAAAAACGATCCTGTGATGCGGGGACACCTCCACCTGCCACTCGCAGTGGGTGTTAAGCGGATACTCATGAGGGTAGTTGGGCGACTGGATCATTCCTCTACGAGCCGAAAATTTGCCACCACAAGCTGAGGAAAGTAAAAAAGGGAAACCAGAAAGTTTCAAGTTAATATTAAAAAAAAAAAAATATTCAATAGCTATGCAAGGTATGTTGCAATACCCTGTTGCATTTTATTAATTGGCAATAGGCAATTGGCCTTCAATTTAAATTCTAATCTCTTCAAAATCGTTTACTCACATGCTTTCACAGTTCGATAGGTGGCTACGAAGCCTCGTCCATTATGCGATCCGTCAGAGAAGAAGCGCACGTGCATTCTATGTCCGGAACTGGTGAGAACCAACTTTTCCGTGGAGCCACAATGTCGTTCGTGAATCGTCGCTGTGTATTGATGGTTGGACACCTAAAATTATTGGATTAGTTTTTTCTTTTTTCTTCTTAGCCCAAATCCCCAATCATCAATCTCACCGTCAGCGCATCCTTAGTGCAGTTGACGCTCTCCTCGATATCCAAGTTGGTGATCGTTAGCTGGACGATGCTATCCTTCTGGACGGTTATCAGCCAGTAGCACTCCAAGTTATTGGGGTACATGTTGGGATTGTTGGGCGACCGGAAGGATCCGCTTTCGTCGCGCAGCTCCTTCGAGCAGCCGTCGATGCGGTAGTCGAGCTGGAAGTTCACATTGCTGGCATTGTGGACGACGGTCACTATTTCCCCGCTGGCATTCACCGATCCCGGGCTGACCATCTTCTGGGTATTCCTGCCGTCAATGATGTACAATCCACTGGGAGTGCGGGCACTTGGCATATGCTCCTCGTGCTGCTCCAAATGTGAGACTTCCAGGCGAACATGATTGCCCTTGGGGGCACGAATTGTCCAGCTGCAATTTATGGGTGTGGTTTCCCAATAGGGTTCCATAAAGTTGAGACTCTCTATGGTTCCGGACACGGCCGTCAGGTTCCTCACGCAATTTGCCTTAAAGCTGATGCGGAATCCTCGGAATGTTGAGGAGTCATCGGAATCGAAGGCCACAGTGGCTTCATTGGATTCAATCTCGATCAGAGGATCCTGAGTATTCAGTTGATTGCAAATCGTTATGTCCGCGTTCTGGTCGGGAAGCTTACTTCCGATGAAAATCTTTACGCTGTCGTAGAAGCAATTGTTCAGGGACTCCAGTTCAAAGTCTTCGATATACAGCGAAATGGCCGATCCCGGATGCGTCCTAATCCGCCATTCACAGTGCGCGCTATTTGGGTAGGGATTCGGGTATCTGGGCGAGGTGAAAGACCCCGCATTGGACTGAAGGCGACCACCGCATCCGAAGGCGAACCCCCGCCAGCGCAGCCGAAAGCCGTGACCACTGATCGCCGAATCCGTGTGGAACAGAAGCCTCACCTCGTGAGTATAGGTGGGTATCCGCGTGGGTATGTTCCGGCCGCAGAAGTGTCCAATCAACGGCGAATTCATACTACCGCCATTCCTTATTTCCAGATAATCTGACGAGCAGTTCGGCGACATTTCCAGATCAAAGATTTCCAGCTGTAGCTCCAGCAGTTGACCAATGGCCCCGTTCAGATGCCAATCGCAATCCAAGCCGGCCGAATAGTTGGCAGGATAATCCGGAGAAGTAAGTTCGCCGCTGGAGGATATAATGCGTCCGCCACATTGGCCACGTTCCTCGAAACTGTAGCTCAACTCAAAGCCGCCCTCCGAATCGCTGCTATCCGAGACGAACTTGATGACCAGCTGGCGCGAGTGGCTGACCAGATCCTCCGGCAAACCCCTTTCGCAGAGTTTGGCCAAGGGCTTGCTGTTCGCACCGTCCTCCTGGGCAGCCAGGCTGTCGTAGATCTCCACATAGTCATACCTACAGTCCTCCATACTGAAGCTGATCCAGTGCAGCCGGATGACCTTGTTGGCCGGCGCCAATATTACCCAGTAGCAGGTGGCATCTACGGCATACTCGCCATCCGAGTTGACCGGCAGCCGGATGTGATCGCCGGAACGGGTGTGCACTCCGCCGCACTTGTCGTTTGCAGTGGCCACCGCCCTGTACTCGAACTTAAAGCCACGCCCTGTGCTATCCGGATCCGTGGTCAGGAGCAGCTGCAGATGGTTGGTCGTGCTGACAAAGTCCTCCTCCGGCTGCTTCTGGCCGCAGTAGGGTCCCAAGACCTGGCGGTTTAATCCGTCATTGATCTGTGAAAACGAGATGGGAATTAATAGATAGATAGATGCATATGATATGGGGGATATGGAAAACCCAATTCAGCATGGGATAATGCTTATGGGAGTGATACTCATTCTAGAAATATCTTTTGATTTAACCGAATTCCTATGTTGAGGAATGATTTGTTAACCAACCGAAGAGAAAAAAAAAACACTAGTGCACCGAAAATCATCACCGATTTCTGTGACACCCATAATTATGTATGAAAATAAATATTAAGATGTTAGGCAAAATAAGTTGGGTAGTCAAATATAGAAACGTAAAATAAAATATGGAATCCAATCATAAGATTTAAAAATACCCTTTTCCTTTTACTACCTCATATACTAATTGGGACATCAAAAACAAAGGAATACTACAACTCATGTGGTTCCTGGGAGTTTGGAGTTCTACCCAGTAAGCCATTGCATTATATTATTTAGTTGTATTTAGTTGTTCAAAGGGAAAAGGGATATGGATATGTGGGGTTTGGAACTCACCCTCAAGTTTGTGCTCAGACAGTCCTTATTATCGTCGTCGTTCTCGTCGCTGCCCAGCTGAAAATCGATCCGCTTCAAGCTGATCACCGTGTTCGGATCCGTTATAATTGTATAGGTGCACAGGCGATCGCTCCTGGTCAGATTGGGGTATCCGGGTGAGGTGATCGTGCCGTGGTCACTGTCCAGCTTGAAATCACAGGCCATGCGGTAGTGCAGCTCGAATTGACCAGCAGCGGCATAAAACTTGATCTTCACCCGATTAAACTGCGAGGTGAAGGCAGGTGGGTTGGTGACCGCCCCATATGACCCGCAGATCTTGTCCTGCAGAAAGCTATCGCCCTCCCTTGTGACATCCAGCAATTCCAGACAGTCCGACGGCCCCATCTCCAGACGCATAAACTGAATGGCTATAAGTTCGCCCAGGGCCAAATGGATTTCGTACTCGCAGGAAATGCCTCCTGGTTCCGAATTGGCCGTCGTTGATACGGAAATAGTACCCTCGTTGTCGGTATAAACGCCACCGCAGCCGGGCACCCGCTCCTCCACAGAATAGTGCAGCTGGAAACCTGAATCGCTGCCCTCCGCATCCGAGTGGAACTGGATCTCAGCCTGGTGGGTGGGCAAAAGCAGCGGAGACGGTGATCCGCTGGTGCAGTACTTGGCCAGCTCGCGCCCGGAAATTGTGTCCTTAATCTGAAAGGGGAGAAGATTAAAGATTGGCAGGATATAACATTAATCTTTAAAATTTTCAACATGTTAATAGATATTTTCAACTTTTAACAAGACGAATTTCTTATTTAAGGCATCATTTTTATGTTAAATACTTTTTCTTTTACATTTATTCTTCCTTTGCTTAATTTAAAATAAATGTGTTAATAATTTGAGTAATTTAAAGTTTATTTAAAAGGCAATTGAAACTATTTAAAGGTGGTTTCGAAGGTCTAGGGATTTCACTTACCCGCACATAATCGAAATTGCAACTGTCATGCTGTTCCAGCTGCAGACTGAAGAAGGTCAGTTTGATGCGCTTGTTGGTGGGCGCCACCACTTGCCACTGGCAGTCGCGATTCTTTGGATAATTTCCTGGCGATCCCGGCGAGGCAAGTGTGCCATGGGTCTCGAAATCCAACCGACCGCCGCACTGCGGCTCCATCGAGTTCCAACTGAGATCAAATCCCTCCTTGGCCGTCGAGTTGTCGGATCGGAACCATATATACAGCATATTACCGGAGGATATGATATTGCCGCCATGTGGCAGATGGCTACCACAATAGCGTCCAATCACCTGGGCCGCCGCCGATCGGCCATCGTTAATCTGCAGCCAGTCGAAACGGCATTCGGTGGCGTCCTCCAAGTCAAAGCTATTGAATGTCACATTGACCACCAGCGACTCGTTGGTTCGGATCACCCAGGCGCACTGGGCATTGTGCTCGTAGCCGGTGCCCTCCGGCGGATATTTCAGTCGGCCACTGGGAGCACTCAGCATCCCGTTGCAGGAGCTGAATCGCGTCTCGCAACGTCGACCCCTGTAGCCCGGCGAGCACTGGCATACGAATCCGTTTTCGTCACCGGTCCGACGACAGCGTCCTCCGTTCTTGCAGGGATGTATGTCGCAGGGACTCGGCGACGGCTGGCAGATCGGCTGTCGGAAGCCAGCGGGACACAGGCAGGTGAAGTTTGAGGGTCCGGCGTCCAAGCAAACGCCATCGTTCTGGTGGAGCACAGGAAGTAAGGGTTATAAGAACAACCAAAAACAAAATGATCCAAACTTAGAAACTAAAAAGCTAATAACTGAGCCTTGCCTAGTCTATACATATAATGTTTTAGGAAAAAACACATAAGTTTTAGATTATTTTGTTGTGTTAAAAAAAAAACTATATATAACAATATGTTTCTTGTTTATGTGAATATACAGACGGGAAAATGGATATGAAATATATATACTTCATATTCATATATTTTCAAACATCTCAGAGTAAAAAAAAAAAAAAAAAAAAATCTTGTCTAATTCCGTTGAAAGGTGGTCCAAAAAGAGACTTACCAGGCAGGGATTTCCATTGCAATTGGTGGTCGTGCCATTGACGCAGCCATTCGAACCGTATCCCGATCCAACCATGCCCACCGGACATCTGCAGGAGGCGGTGCCGGAAATCAAGAAGCAGCTGGCTCCCGCATAGCAGGGATTGTTGGACGCCGGACAACTTCTGGGTGACAGTCCGCCCGTTTGACTATTGGATTCCTGCGCATCCCTCACACACTGCCGTCCATCGCCCGTCCAACCCACCGGACACTCGCCGCACTGATGCGATCCGTAGGAGTTGATGCAATTCACCTTGGGACTGAGACTGCAGCCGCCGTTATTCGTCTGGCATTCGTCCACATCGCGGCAGCTCACTCCATTTCCGGTCAAGCCGGCGGGACAGGGGGCGCAGGTGAAGCTGCCCGGCAGATTGATGCATTTGGTGGAGCAGGGCGTATGGGCCGCCGTCTCACTGCACTCGTCCACGTCCTCGGCACAAACGGGAGTCAGTCCATTTGTCTTCCAGCCCGGTTCACAGAGGCACCGATAGCTGGCATCGTCCGAGCTCGGAACGCAGGATCCATGGCCACACATTTCCCAGGCACTCGACTGCGAACAATCGGCCTTGCGCTGGGTGCAGTGCATCCCATGCCAACCCTGCGGGCACAGGCAGCTATAGGAACCAAACTGATTCTGGCACTGTCCTCCATTCTGGCAGCCCAGATCGGTGCCCTCGTACATGGCGCACTCGTTGACGTCCACATCGCACTTGGTGCCCTACAAAAGGTGAACATAATAATGGAATTTAATGTTACTTAATATGTCATGTAATTGAAACAGGAATGCACAAATACCAACTAGCCCACGCAATATTTTCATTTTAAAAAAACTATAAATAATATATCTTGTTTGGTTAGCAGAGTCTTAAGGAATCGCGTTTTGCATATTCTGATTCTGTTTCTTATGTGCTGAATAATTCGAGGCTTGAGTGTATTAAATTGAATAGATAGAACCTGAATGGTTAATTATCATTTAAATATACATATGTTTGTTTCTTGATAGTTCTAAATTGCAAACCCGAATTAGAATACATTTTGTGTGCAAAATAATTTTATGATCATATGCAATCGTAATCAGCGTTCTTTTTTTAATAGTTCGTGCAGTTCTCTAGTGGACACCACTTTCGACGCCCCTTAATACTCCCCTTTTTGTGGGCTACCAAGGGGAATTAATATATGAATATGTACCCACCTCAAAGGCCGGCCGGCATTGACAGCGAAAGCCGTAGAAGGTGTTGTAGCAGGTGCCTCCGTTCTCGCAGGGTCCACTTGCACAGTTGTTCGCCTCCAACTGCGTCTTCATCCGATTCGCCCGGGTCTCCACCGCCCTGAGTCGCGTTCGGAAACGCTGCATCAGGCCCCTGAATACGCGAGTACTGTTCCAAAACAGAGCAAATTATAAAGGAAAATGCATATGCATTATGTCAACCACTTTTTTAAACATTTGTCAAACAAGCTTGTTCAGCATATTCTCAGCTCATCTGCTTAGTGACCATTACATTTTCCATAACATCTTAATTATAATTGCTTAGCATACTTAGAAATAAACATAAAAACTTGCATCCTAATTTTTGCACGTCTAACTATTATGTTTTCAGATATGCAAATAGGTTTATCACATACCTGTTCTGAATCACTCGTAGGTCATGAGACAAGCCGGATGCTCCAAAGGCTTCACTTCTTATACGCAACAGATCATTTTGCAAATCTCTTAAATGAACGTTATCCCACACGGTGCTGAATTCATCCGTGAAATCGAATCGCTTCTTGGAACTATTGGAGGGCATCAAAACGTCCAACAGATCGTACTCATCGTTGATCATAAGCCTCGAATTTCCGTGCAGTCGAAAACTTATATTGCGATTTTCTCCAGACTCAAAAATCAAATTGCCATCTTTGCTTATAATTTTTGGCCTAAAAATGGGCGGTATCAAATGGTAAAATCTACGCTTAAAAACAATGTTTTTTTTCCTTACGAGTTGACAAAACCGTGGACCCAAGGCCAATTGTCCGTAATAGAAAGAATCGCCAAACACAAGAGGATTCTGCTCCTCGCAGATCCCTTCATTTTGTCACTTTAAAGAACAATTCAATGCCACTAAAAAAAAATGAAAACACTGTAAACACTAGAAAAAAATAAGATCCGATCTGTTGGGATATCAATGTTCGACTGTGCTGCTCCCTGAGATCTCTGCATTTCAGATCAACTCTGGATGGTGCCGGGGGCGTATCCAGAAAACGCCCATTAAACCCATTTCCCGAAAAAAAATAGATAGTAAGGCTGGCTTTAAAATCGTACACACATATATATATTTTTGAGCAGATTTCTCAGCCGATTTGGGTTTGCTCTCGGTGCTGGCTTAGGGCGCTAATAATATCTATTACAATAGCACATAAATTAGATCTTTTAGCTTAGGTTTAGTTTCTCTCAAAATGTAAAAACTACGGAGTTTCCCTCCTTTTTGCCCTTTCGAAATTGTAATAAATTTCGAAAGACCTGCGTTCCTCTTGCAGACTCTCTTTTGAATTCAATAACATATAGAACAGACTCTGTGTGTGGGGAGTGTGTGCCCAAGGTGTTTGACTTAAGTACAGGCTGTGCTCTACATAGATCTCTGCTCTCCGTGCCAGGTGCTGGTCTAAAGTCTAGATAAGTTTGCGTGTAGGTTACAAATGCACAAGAAATGTTCGATAACTAAATGACTGATCAGTTGCTTTCAGGAAACATTGAACTGAAGTGTTATCAAGAACAAAGCAAAAATCTTACAATCGTGAAATTATTTAGAAATATTCCTAGGTAGGACAAATTGTAATATCCATATCTGATACAATCACGTGTGGTACATTGCATATGATTAACAAGTCTTAAATAATGGATCGTACAACAATAATTAAGTTGAGATTAGGGGAATTTAGAAAGCAATTCTGTGACTTAGTTTTGTATACCATATAGATGTGGAATAAATCTTCCTAGTTGATCATTAATAGTTTACAGATGGTTGGTCAATACGATTTCATTTAGTGTGCTTGGTGGTTGTTCAGTTTTGGTTGGTTAGTGGTGGTCTTTATCGTTTTCGATCGCAGTTCCATTGTTCTGTGTGGTCTTGGTAGTGTTCTGTGAGACGTATCAAAGGAGAGCTTCATTGGCTGGGTCTTCTGTTATTTCTTATACCTACGGATTGCCGTACAATTCTTTGCGGTTTCTCTTGATTTTTGGCCATGGAAATAGGAAATATTCAAGGGCTTGATGGTTGCTTTGCCTGCCTCTACATAAGATACATACTTGGGTATATATGCTTTATATTTAAGTGTATATATAACGTAAGTGTGTATAATAAAAATCACAAAGATGAAATGACTTGCGTTTGAGTCCGAGTATAAATAATAACAAAGCTTAGCGCAATCAGATCCGGATCTCTGTGCTCTGAGCATTGTTTACAAGAAACTATGGTTATAATAATATAAATTATATTAATTACAATATATGGGTGCCAGGACACGCGTTACACGATAAATAAATATTAAAAATATACACTCGACAGTTGAACTTTCTGCTTAGGTTGGGTTTTTCTCTTGGTTACTCCTCATCTTTCAGCTTCACTAAATTTCCTGTGAAATGCACAAAAATGTGCTTTCTCTTCAATTGGTGGGCGTTGTGACCGCCTTGGATCGCCTTATGTGCTCCGATTTGTGGTAGAGGAATTTATAGCTTGATTTCTGCTTCTCCGTGTGCTCCACAAAGGAATCTGCCGATCATGAATTTCATATTAGAACAAAGGATGATGCTTTGAAGGGTTCACACCTCACATAAACTTCAAAATTTAACTTGGTTTTGATATTTTTAAGATCTTTTTAAACATTGTTTAAAATATATCCAACATATTTAAATGAAAAAATTTAATATCGGTATATAATATTATAAAAACGTGAGCATTTTTTCTTAGTTACTGGGTACTACTAAGTTACTAAAATACCCACCGAAGGAGACATAGCCCAGGTTGTCTGTATCCAGCGCAAAGAAGAGCGCCTGGGCCTTTTGTTCATTAAGCTTGCCACCAGCGTGTCTCATTAACCGTACAAAGCTCTCCCTATCGATTTGCTGACTAGATTCGCTATAAAGCTACAAAACAAATATAAATTAAATAAATTCACAATTTTTGTTGAAGTATATTACGTGGATCAAGGCACGCAGGAAGGTCAACAGATCTGAGTTTTTTAATTTGCAGAAGAGGGAGCACAGCAGGAAGCTCTTCAAATTCACTGTGCCCATGCGGCGCTAAAAGAAAAAAAAAGATATGTCGAATTTCGATTAGAAAGAGAGAGCTGCATTCGATTACACTGATCAAAAACTTACGTGATCGAGCAGAGCAAACAGCTTGTGCAGATCGGTGTTCTTGAGGTCCACCTTGAGCAGCTCGGCAAACGTAATAATGTCCATCCTGTCCGTGTTGGACACCCGGAGGAATCCCTTGCACAGCTCCGCATCCCGCTGGCTCTCAATCAGACCCAGCTTCTCGATGGTCCGCTCGATCTCCACGATATCGCCGGGGAAGGGAATCTTCATGTCGCGGGCCCGGCTCATCACGATTACGTCCTCGAAGGAATAGTCTGAGGTGGGTACTCCTAGGGCCCTATAAAGATTAAATAAGTTATATGCCAATGATCCAGCGACTAGTCCTACTTTATATTAAATATAAAAATTAATATATATATTTTTAAATATATCTATATAAAAAATGATCCAGAGACTAGTCCTATTTTATATTAAATATAAAAATTAATGTATATATTTATATATATATCTATATAAAAACAAATAAATAAAATATTTCGATGTTATGTTATAATTTTTGTTGAATTGCGCTTGTAAATAAAATTAACCGATAATAAATATAAAAGTAAACATATAAAATTTCTAGAATAATTATACATACATATTTGATTGTCAATATGTAGTTCTTTAAGCAAACAAAATAAAGTCTCTGATGTTGACTATGAACTAGAACAATGCTGCTATGAATAGGAACAATAAAGGAAATGGCCTGTTTAACTTCTACAAATTATATGTTTGCAAAAATATCCAATTTCGAATGAGCTTCTACCCCACTTACTTGGCCATCACCTCCCGCACATTGTTGGCATACAGATTGGCATCAGCCACTTCGTCCACCGAAGGCGTGTACACGGGCAGATACTCGATCTCGCACCGGTTATAAAACTGCGTCATCGTCAGCCAGAGAAGGCGTAACCTGGATGCAATAAATAAAAATCATTAATATTTAACACAAATATATTCATATTACACAATAATATTTTTACTAAAATACATTTTTACTAAAATACATTTTTACTACATTTTTAATACATATACATAACAAAATCTAAGTTCTTTATAACGATAGGTCTAAGCAAAATGTCTAAGCCCTTTCATCACAAGTAAGTCCATCATTATTTAAAACTCCCTTTTCAGATATCCCAGGTTCTATATTATTATACTCATTGTTGACTATTTTTTTGTAAACCCTTTTGTACTCACACTCCGGGTCCATCCCAGGTCCATGTAAAGGTGTCATATTTATTTGGGTATTTTAAGAGCACCGGTTGCACGGGCACACCCGGATAAAAAGCGCCAGGCTTGAACTTGATCAGGGCCGTGCGATTGGTGCAGGTGCCCTCGGCAAAGATGACCACCTGCGGCCAGTCGTCCGTGGAGCGAGCTCTGTCCACAATATCCTTGATCGTGTTCTGTCGCGAATTGGGATCCTCGCGCTGCACATAAATGGGCTGGGCATAGTTGATGATGCGACCGAGCAGCGGGATGTCCGCCGTCTCCCGCTTGGCCACTATCGAGGGCGGGCCACTGGCCACGACCAGGATGGAGTCCACGTAGGAGGAGTGCGGCGCCACCACCAGGATCGGTGCCTCCTTCGGCGTCGCCGCTCGTCCCTTCATGGTCACGTAGTGGAACGATCCGAAGGTGTACACCATTCGCATGCCACGGGCCGTCATGCATTGCATTTGTCTGATGAGTGTAAAATACATGATAATTAGTTACAAATTCAGCTAATAAAGTCGCCCTACTTACTTCCGCCAGCCGGTAAGGGGCTTCTCCTTGAGATCATCCAGCGTCATTCCATAGAGACCAATGCAGGCGAACATCCACGCGGAGATCAGGGAGAGAACGCAGCCCACCACGCGGATGGGCAGCAGGAGAACTGTCAGCACATAGATCTGCAAAATAATTGAATATTGTGAATTTTAAAATTTAAATAGAACAATTGGTTTTGTATTAAGAAAGAAGAGGCTTTTCCGCCCCCATAATATACATATTGCTTGAACGAATGATATAAATAAAACCCACTTAAGCTGTAAAGCTGCTGACATTTTCTATTTAAACTCAAAACGCAAAAACCCGATAGATGACCTTCATTTTGTTTATTTGTTTTAAGCGATTTACATTTGGCCAACAGCTCATAGAAGTATATGTCTTAAAAGTGTCTTCCATCGGATGCAAATGCCTAATAGAGTTCACTTTTAAGACCGACTATATTTACTGCACACCATTGGCCTAGACGAAATTAATCTTGGCGTGACAAGAGCTATCGCTGGATAAGCAATACACAATTATCCTCATGTCGTGCAAGTAAGTGCTACAGGACCAAGGTAAGCCAGGCGGCCATCAGGCAGAATCCTCCCATGGTGGCATACGGCTGCATCCATTTCTCGCCCGTCAGGGCGCGATAGTACATGGAACCGCTGAAGAACAGGGTGCCAGTGATCATTAGTGTCCCGGTGAGGAAGGGGTAGTGGGCCAGGGGCATGGCCATCAAGGCGAAGGAGTGCAGGAAGTGGATGCGATTGGCCACATCGGCGTACGCCTGCGAGTCCAGCTGGTCCCTGACATCATCTATGTCCCTCAGGACGTACTTGCAGTAGGCGCCCATGAAGATGGCCGATGCTCCGCCAATCCCGGCCAGCCTCACGAAATGGTAGTGGCATCCGGCGAGGCAGTACAGGGAGCTATGTGAACGCACATAGTGATGCGCTGAAGGGTGAAACACCAGCATGGAGTCATCCACCGGCATCTTCTTCGGTTGCAATCCGAGGCTGTCCAGAAAGGCGATTGCGGACGAGATGATCATCTCACTGACAGGATTGCCCAGGATGAGATAGTCCAGGGTCTCGGCCAATGACATTGTGTATTTATCTTGCTTAAACTTCGCTAGCTGCTGCCACAATAATTTTGACGCAAGGCCAAAAATGTGAAATACAGTGGAGCTTCTATAAATCAAATCACTATCTATCCCTAGAGCTGCAAAAACATCGATTTTGACTACAATCGATTGCTTGACAGCTTTTCAATCAAAAACAACAGCGACAGTAGGAAATTTTTATATAGTGACTTTAGAAACAAGGCATAAATATTATATTCGTGGAAATAGATTCATAAATCTTTAATAAAATCTGACCATTTTCTTATGATAGACAATTGTTAAGCTCTAGTCTTAAATTAAAAAAGTCTAGCCTGGTTTTAATTTATGGAAGGAAACGTTAATAAATACGAAGCAAAGTATCAAACTTTCTTTCGATGATTAAGTATATTCCGATTAGATTATTTTCCCTTGCAAATCAAATAGTTTTCTGGTTATTTTAAAAAAGAAACAAACCCAATATTTGGGTTATAAGTAACAGTACTCGTTGTTTTAAATTTTTAATAAAACATTATAATAGTAAATAGTTATTAAAGCGCCATTTGGGGCGAAAAATTGTATCACAATCTGACAAAAGCAACGTTAATCACGTATGCCTTATCGGATAAGAGGATAATGACATGGTAAAATATTCGCATTAACTCATGAAAGCAGACGGTTATAAATGTAGACCCCACAAATCAATTGGCCCCAAACATTTCCATGTTTACATTAGCCATCTGCGTATAACCGGGCGTTAATCGCTGATAGCAAATGCTTATCAGTCAAGTGGAGGCCCGCCAAAATACGCACTGAACTTTGCTTGTCGATCCGGCCCTCTTGATGAAATCGGCACCAAGAAACAGCATGGAAACACCCAATGTCTGGAGCTGACTATATTAAATAATAAAGCTCTAGCGAATTGGTGGTATCAGTGGTATGTTTCGGATCAGAGTTTTACTTTTTCGAACATTCCAAAGGTCCCTATTATAATCTCTATTTATAAAAAGCTCTTTCAGATGCTCTTGCTTTTTATATATTTAAATATACAGCTATGTGCAAAATAATAGGCATTGAACATTTTTTGAAAGTCAAACAATTAGTCAATAATTATTAATTTCGTAATTATTTAAAAATCAATAAGAAGTTTAAAGGTAGGATATTTATTATAGTTGGAAATCTTAATGTTCATTATATCGACCGTATATGATTAATAATAAAATAAATTTATAACATTTTGATAAAATAGGTTTAACAACAGGCTTATAAGTACAAAATGCAGGTACAAACAAAATTAGATTGTGGTACAAAATAAAATTACATTTTTGGAAACTAGTTTAGAGCTTTGATATTATTTTTTCGACCGCAAGTGTTTACAGAGATATGGCCAAAGTTACTGCATGCTAACTAAGTGGGAAGCAGCTACAATGTCAGGGCCAGTCGAGTGCCTTGAACTTCGGACGGAAGCGAAATGAAAGCGAAACGGGTTTCTGTTTTGTGCACGCTTTAAAATACACCCCTCCACCCACCACCACACAAAAAAAAACCCCACATTTTTGCCAGCTCATTTTATATTTATTCATATTATTTAGTGGGTCAATGCCTCAATAAGTGCAGTTGATCTCAGACTCTCAACTTAGGCTATAGCTAAATATACATACAAGCCTGACTATTTATACGCCCCACTGCAGTTATCAATTTTGTTGCTGTTTTGCAACAATTATTGTTTATTATTCAAGACTTTGAAACTTGACTCAGCGATAGCGCCACTTGGATGCGTCACTAAGATCGGTTATAGAACAATTCCTACTGATTATATAGTATTTGTTTACCTCACGTGATAGTTATTACTAGGAATAAATAAATACGTAGACTTTAAATAAAAGTTAAGAGCATTTCAAGTACTATTTATTTTATAAAAGTATTTCCTTTCTTATTATCTTTAGTATATAGTCGACTATTAACAAGAAAGACAAATATTAGTATTTACTCAGTCTACTTATGTATTTTGGGAAACAACTTAGGGTTCTTAGTCATTTTACACAAAAATCTCTATTTATTTATAGTACCCATAACATATACAGCTTCCAACGTCAACAAATGAAAAACCTGATAAATCCCTTAACCAATGGCTACAACTCATTTGAAACACGCCACTAAGGGTAATTTCAGTGAATCAGCCAAACAATTTATCAAACAAGTGATAGAAAAAGTATATTTTTGACTTTTAATAATTAAATTTGCCCACTCTCTCATTTAATTGATATAAAATACTGTCAAAATGATAGGAAACATTATCACTTCTGTTGATTAAAAGAAGTTCCTACCCAAATTGACGTTTTTTAAGAACATAATTGTTGATGATTATAAAAGTAAAAACAAAAATGTAATTGAAAATTGACATAATTACGTTTTTTCCGGTGCATCTATTAACCGAAATTAGACCATTTCCCGGGCAAATCTGCACTGATCCGTAAACAAGCTGAAACACTTGTGCTGTTCATTGTATTTGCTTTTGTTTATTATTGTGTTATTGCCACTCGCAGCAATTAGTGCTAAGTGCAAATAGCGAGCTTTACCAAAATATAGAAAGTATGGGAAGGTGGGAACGTTGTATAGTATATATGTATTAACAGCTGGCGAATTCTGCCATTAACCCACGTGCAAGAAACTAGAGCCGTTTTGCTGATCATCCGGCTTTTTAAAACCCATAAAACACCTGACGCTTAGCGCTAAAGTATCGGGTTAATCGATCGAGTGATACATAATATGGGGTTTCGAGGGGGTCGTGAATGTGGAACTCGAGACTTATTATATGACAACACCGGGAACTGTACAAAAATAACTGAGAAAGAGAAAAGAAAACATAAGACATACCATAAAGATACCCGGTAATATAATGTAACAAAAATAACAACAGGGCTTTCATTTCAAGATTAAGCCCATGAAAGTGTTCTATTTGTCATTACTTTGGGTTGCGTCATCGGTATAATTTATTTAAATTTGTTTTTAAAAACAACAAATTGGTCTTATCATACCGAAACCATTTCAATACATTTATGAGTCAGTCAAATTACACATTCCATTTCAAAACTATCTTCAGCCGTTGAAATTCCAAATTAATTGATATCGTTTATACAGATTAACATTAAAAATATTGGAAGATCAAACACGGTTTTGGTGCATCGGAAATTGTTATTATCAGATACATTTATATCTGTTAATTTTTCTCTTCTTGTTTGTTTAACATATTTTGAACATATAAGATTGATGATATTTATGGTTTGGTTAGATCTTTGGAATATTTGGTGCTGCAAACCAATGAAACGTATTTTTAATCTTTATCTGTATCTTTATGATTCCCTGTAGCGTGTTTGTTTGTTAGATATCTAGGTTTTTAATATGTATTTGTATCTTTAAGATACCCTATAAATAAATTATTGTATCGCAAATAAGGGGGTGATAATATCTTTATGTTGCTGAAATTTTTAAATGCTTACAACATGTTTCTGTTTACACCCCTATATTTTGTTGTACTCCAGTTTGTTAGATGTGCGTATCGATAAGATACACGTACTTCCGTTCCGTCGAGAATATTTAAATAAAAGTTGTACCCCAATATACCCTCTCATCTCTTTTAAGCACCCATTAAAAGGCATAGTAGATACAAGAAAGAAAACGGGAATAAGGCGGAACAAGACAACCATTTGATATTGCGAGTGCGAGAGAGAGGCATGGATTTTTGCCAATACCAATAATAACAACAATAACGGCACACATGCCAAAAGAACCGGCGTCGCAGCAGCAGCAACAACAACAACAGTCCTAGTGGGGCGTAACAACAACAAAGAGAACAGGAAAATCATACGATTCTCGCTGCCGCCAGCAAAAAAAAAACGCTGACGTAGGCAGAGAAGTTGACAGAACCAGTAAAAGAAAAGAGGAAAAAGCGCACAAAAAAATAAAAAAAAACAACAAATACAATGCGAAAAAGAAGAAGAACATTGACCCATGTAACGGCAAATGCATGTCAAGTGCAATGCTAAGAAGAGCGATGGGGCTAGAGAAAGTTCTCTCTCGCTCTTGCTCTTACTCTCCAGTCAAGATCGCCAGGGGCGTATGTGAAATAATACTTTGGAAAGTTAAGTTACTATTACCCCAAATTAAGAAAATCAATTTAATTATTTTGTATAGTTACTATGACTATTAAAAATGATTTTGGGTGGGAGATAATGCCATAACATAAGCCCCTCTTTGGATGCGCGCCTGGAGATCGCACATGTGCCCGATTTGCATGAATGAAAGAGGGAGATGGAAAGAGGGAGGAGCAAAAACAGAGACGTAGGATGAGCAGGGAAGGAGGCGCGGGAGGAGGAGAGCAGAGATGGGGGCTCACTCACCTTGGCCACCTCAATGTGACTGTCGATTTCGATGCGATGGACGAACGGATTTATGTAGTTATAACCCTTGGAGGCCCACGTATCCTCCTCGGAATCGCGTTTAGACAGGCTGGCGGCCACTCCCACATCACCGACACCGCCCACCACCCCCGCCGGCGGCACTTCTTCGCCGCCCGTTGGCTTAATTGTCGACGTTGTCATTGCCTCGTTTTTTTTTTAATTCACTTCTTTCTTTCACTTTAATCACACCACGCACTCCCGCACAGCGGTTAAAAAAAAAATAATAATAACAATGATGGTTCGGCCTTTACTGGACTTGACTGGTTTCCAAGCTCTGATTTTCGAGTGTTTTTTGTTTTTAATTTCAATTGGTTTTATATTCGCGTACCAAGCGGTGCCATAGATAAACTAAAATCCCGTAAACTGAATTCCCATAGTATAGTTATTGGATTCGCTCGCGAGCGGAACAACAACAAACTGCGTTTTGCAAACTCTTCCCTGCGTAATTTTGCAACACTTTTCCCTCGGCGTTTTGCAGCCCTGCTTGGCCAGCCAAAAGATACTGGTTAAATACTATAATAAATACCGTCTTTTCTTTCTACCGATCCGGCAACTTTGGTGGCCGATTTGAGATGGTATTGATAGAAATTCTATTCGTTTAAAGAATTGTAGCCTTATTAATAGACAATAATAATCATTAAGTCAAGACCTAACAACACGATAATAATCTCATATGTATATTTCAATTTTTGTATTGAAAATAACGTTTCTAAAAGAGAATTATACGGTCAAACCTGCTTGGTTCATAAAAATACGTATAAGGGAAGTTCATAAAAATGTCAAACGAGGTATTTATAACTAGTCAATATGTTTCCAACATATTTAATTGCCGTTACTATTCCGTGTTAAATATTTCTCTACCTTGGCAACGCTGCCATAAGCGCGCCAACAATTTAAAATTTGAAAATCCACGGCTCCTTTGACCGTTATTTGCCTTTCACGTGTTTTTGGTTTTCAGAAACAGCATCGCGCCACACAATAAATTTTATGGCACGAGTCGGTCTAATCTGGCAGCAGACCCACAGTTCACGGCCCCGCCGTCTCATGTGTCCGAAACGTGTTTTGTTTTCGCCCAAAAAAAATCAAACTTTACGATCTTCATCGAAAACGTTTCCAAGGCAAGACACCTAGTTGGTAAACATACAAAATGTCTAGGCTAAGGGGCTAGCTATAATATATGTAGCTTTATCAGCGGTTGGCAAACGCCGACCGATCCAACCAGTTTTATTCCGTTGCGTCTTATGGTTAGTTTCTCAAGATAAAACGGGTTTTTGCTGTGATGTGATGATCACTTGCAATCTTAGTTCTCTGTCGAGGGCGATGGGGCGGCATTAACTGTTATACCCTCGCGCCGGTGACCTTGGCGAAGTTTATTCGCCGCCCTTTACCCCGTGACCTTGCCCAACCCGATTCCGTTTGCACGAAAGGGAAATGAGTGCCGGATTGCAGGGGGAGTTGTTACTATAACTAGTATATAGTTTCGTAGTAGTGCTTTTGGTTGACCAAGCCCCCCTGTTCCACCGCCCACCGCATAATCGGCCAACCAGCAAGGCCAAAAGAGCGATTTTTAATGACTGGCAGCATTTATTAATGGAGTTTTTATCTATATACATATATACATTTTAGTTTTGTGCATTTGGATTCCAAATTGGTTAAATTGAAAGTGTTTTAAACAATGAATTTAAAAACCATGCTTAAAATAAATACAATATATAAGTAATAAGACAAACTCTTTAACAATAAGAAATTCTTGTGAATAACTGCCATTATAAACGTATACGTTTCAATAATCAAAAAGCACCACAAACTTAATATGTTTTGACCTTGCTTATTTTTTAAACATATCCTATGCTTCCCATTTATTTTTTTATGTTTTTGTTATTTATATTTTTTTGTTATTTATTGTGAGGAAATGTCTGCGCTCACATGTGGGGCTTATTTGTTTTTTTTAATTTACCGCTTTTGGTGGTTTTTTGTTTTGATTAACTGTTTTTTTTCTAGTATTTTCATGTGGATAATTTCTTAATTTTAAATGCGTGTTCCTAATTATTTATTATTAATTTGTTCATTATTGTTTTGCATAACATAAGCATGTGCCTTTATTTCTTTGTCGTTTTTTTATTATATTGTTATTTTTCTTTGAATTTGTCAGGCCGATTTTGAACATTTTTAATGGTTTTTTTTGTCGCTAATTTTGTTTTTATGTATTTGCCCGTTTAATGTGTTTTTTTTCGACGTTTTTCTGTCAGATGAATTTTCCGGCTTTTGGCCAGGCGTCACGTGAAGTTATTTACAGTTGCCAAAAACGTATTATAATTAATGACTTTTGTTTATAGACGAAGGCCGAAGATTTTCACAAATTTTCCACGCGGTTTCGTTGGCTGCATTGACCCCTTCAAGTTAGAGCGAGATGGCGAAGGAGAGAGTGATAGCGAGTGGGCGACGTCATCATCATTGACGTCACGGTAAACATACTGAGAAAAGAGCTAATATCATACGATAAAATGCTGTAAAAAATCGATTATTTTGTGTATACAACAAAAGCGATGAGCAAGCGCACATGGGCAAACCCCCAATACAATCAGAGAAACACCCACACACGTACACGCAGGCCTTATTTAGTGTGTGTGTGTGTGTGATATGGGGCGAGCCCCCAAAACTGGATTCCCAAAAGCGTACTACAAATGAAAAAGTACCGGAGGAGGCGCAAGTATGACAGTTGAAGGTGACACAGGAGACACAGGCGATAGGACATTTATGTATAACAGTTTTGCAATCTCCACTTTGGCTGATGAAATCGGTGGAATTCCAGGCGTGGTTGGGCGGTGTAAAGGGAGCAGACGAACCCCTTCCACAAAACCCAACTGGAACCAGTTGAATTTTTTTTTTTGGTTCTGTCAAAGGGGTTTTTTCCTAAAAGAACCTGTTACAAAATTCGGGTGCGCTGTAACTGGAATTTCTAGAAGTCCACTTATCTATGTATGTATAACAACCCATTTAACATAATGGCTTAGGAATAATTTTAAATTTTATTTTTATTCAAAAAAATCATCTAAAAATAATGAGGCCAGTAGAATACACCGTTGACTATCCACGAAAACAGTTGGAATAAAATCATCCATAAATAATTTAATCAGTGACCTCTTATTTGCGTATGAACCAGATTTGTATGACTGTTTAAATTGTAAATTATATCAAATAGCTCAACTCATAAGAAATATAATTATTCCTTAGATTTTTATGATTAAATTTGGAAAATTTAATAAAACAATATTCCTATAACCACAATTCAATTACATACATATATGGTTTAGTCCATCCCGTTTTAGATGATTGCCACAAACCGAGTCGTATAATTATTGCGTGTCACCTTTATTCTTTTAATTAAAAAATTTTTAAAAGTCCCAAGTTGTCATTGTCTGATTTATAATGTTTTTTATACATTTTGATCATTCACAAACGAAGTGTAGATGCACTTGAAACTCATTGCCCATTTTTAAAGTGCTGATTCATCGTGCCAATGCACCTATTGTGCGGTCTTATCATACATATGTATATCACCATAGACCTACATACATTGCTTGTATAAAAAATTAAAAAACATACATACATACAATAGAAACCTGTTAGGCTTACTAGAAATCTGTAGAAATTGAACACCTTTTTAGACCCTTAAGGGGAAATCATAACAACAATTGATTCAAATATTTCCTATTTCTATTCCATTTCTTTCAATTCGAAATTAAAATTTTTTTTTAAATTTGTTATACTATATCATTGAAAGACAAGATATTTTTAAGCCGCCTATAAAGATCGATCACTTTTGGGGCAACTGCGTCTTAGTGCTATCTAGCCGATCGAATCAATTGACACGCCCCTTCTTTGGCCCCCTCTTAAGTGACTTGGCCCCTTATTCCACCTGCTTAACCCCCGCCCCCTTGTTCTCTATTTCGCATTTCGCCAAAGCAATTTCCGTGACTGCAGATAAGAAAAAGAAACAACAACGGCAACCACTCCTTGTCTCGTTTGCCATTATTATAATGTATGTAGTTGACTTTTTGTACCCTTCGAGAGATCGCTCTGAATTTGTCGTCCAGGTAATACTCTATAATGCTCTATATATATATCTGAACCTTTAATGGCAAAGAATTAGTTGAAAGAAATAATACTAATGGTAGAACCCTACTGATCTTTCATTTATTTAACATTACTGATGAGGATAATGTACATACATTTTTTAAATATATTAAATATATATTATATTAAATATACCCAATAGTTATAATAAACGTATAGTTTTAAAGGGTATTTTTTTTTATTCTGCTATTGGCGTTTGTGTGTTCCTGAGTAACGGAACGTGTAACCAAGCCAGATAAACAATTAATCATTTCTGTCGCACAAGTTAACACACATACGCTCCCCTACACATCTATGTACACTTGTTAATGTATGTATGTATGAACGAAAGAGACGGGGGAGCGTTTCTCCAAATAAAAAAAAACTTTTTGAATTCGTCAAAAGTCACTAAATTTTTAATGCACTTTGCACTTTGTGATTTTTGGATTTTTTTTTGGAGCTTATTACCCCAACTCTCGTAAACAACAAATAAATTTTCTTATTGTTGCGAAATAATTTCGCAAGACACGTGCAGCACCGTTTGTGGGAGTGTGAAGGTAATGAACAAACTCAAAGAAAGAGAGGGAGTTTGAGTTGGAGTAGTAGCTATGTTGCAGTTGTTGCTTTGCCCTAGACGTCATCGCACTCATCGCTCTCTCTGTCTCCTCCACTCCCTACTCTCCTTCCCCCAGGGGGCGTGCAAGGTGGCTGAGAGTGAATGGAATATGCGTACAGCAGAGGTTAAGAAAAAGGCCACGAAGTGATAATTAGTGGTTTTATCTCAAATCCTTTGGGTAAACCCATTTATAATTCTCTAATTGTTCTCCTCAAGAAGTGAGAAATTTTAAGATTTTTTTGAAATTATAGATTCGGATTTTAGTAATCTTTTCTAAAAAATGTATATTTGGTCGTTTTCAACTCAAATGTTCATTAAATGATAAGCCTTATTGCCAGATGCTATTTTTCGCTCTTTGACTGTTGGTGTCTGGTCTTGTATAACAGTTATGAGGCCACATGCCAGCACACACGTTTGCAGGCATGCCCACATGTGTATTCATATACATACGCATATGTAAATATGTATGCATGCATGTATGTACTCTCACTAGTAGTTGGAAGCGCTTAAGTTGTTGTTGCCGCAATTGTGGACGAGCCTCTTTGTAAAAAAAACTTAATAAAATGCTAAGCAAAAACCAACTAAGAAATAATGCAGCGACAAAATGAAATTGTACATGAAATCTAGTTGCAAAAATATGAAAAATCCATGGGAAACAACAAAATTCCATTGAACCGAGAGCGGGAGAGAGAGCGAGCGAGAGGAACTTCGAACTGGGCGGCACGTACCCATACAAACGAGATGGTGACGGGTGTGGATCGGGGCGGGGTGGGTAGACGAGCCCCACGGACACTGAAAAAATTCATTTATATATATACGTATGTATACGACGAGGATGTTGACGCGTCGCCACAACTTGAGAATTCCAAGATACTGAAGAAGTAGGTGGAAAGGGGGGCGGTAGCGGATCGGCCAACAGCTAAGCAAACTGAGAGAGAAAGCCGCTCTCTCTCTCGTCGCAGCTGGAATGGCACTGCTATAATGATACCATGAGAGAGAGAAAGAGAGCGCAACCCACAAGCCCTGTTGAAAAAAGAGATTGAGAGGGGGTTGGATACCAATAGAGGAGGGGGTTAAAGGAGGGAACCCAAAACGCATGCTGCGAAAAAAGTATCAAACATAACAACTTTTGAATGCGGTACTTTCAATAAGAGTTATATAGTATGCAAATTGTATTGCATACTTTTTGGGGACCAAAAGTGGAAATAATATAAGAAGCAAACTAATATCGTACTTATGATCGTTGTGCTTTTCATTGCGATATTATATCCGACAAGTAAGTATTCAGAGCCAAATTTACCAACAATACAGTTAAGCCAAGTTTTGACGGGCTAACATGTCGTATGAGTAATATAAACTGGAAATTGAAAGCTTTTACGCAGCGCCCAAAACTTATTATCAAACTTTTTCATTTTTCATTAATTTATGTATATTTCCTAAAATAAAGTATATTTTTAAACTTTATATATATAAAGTTAAATATATTGGAATATAAGTAGGTATATTTCTAATGAAAGAACTAATTTTAGAAAGTAAACTATCTTGAAACTTTTTTTTGGGAAAGACTTGAAATAATAATTGGTTAGGCCAAACTAGAATTCAATTCCATTGCACATGACGACGTGTAGGGTATCGGCAAAGTGCTGACGACGGCAAAACGCCGCTCTCGCATAAGCGGAAGCGAAGAGAGCTGCCAGGCCCTTGTAGTTCCTCGTTTATGCGATGGAAATAACAAGATATTAATGCATTACCGGGGAATAAAAATAAATACAAGTTGTTAAACTTAGATAATAAAACATTTCCTTCTTAGGTACTCAATCAAAGTTAATCCTTCTTTTTTATCTTTAAAAGGAATGATTGGTCTTTAGTTATCTTTAAAAGGAATGGTTGATAAATCTGCTTACGCAATAATGCTTTTGTATTGAACTTTAAGTAAAATAAAATCAGATGTAAGAACTAAAATTTATTTTTGTCTTCTATTCGAATGAAAATAAGTGATTTAACCCGTTGTTTAATTTAAGATCCCGATATCGCATACAAGCAATATCACTTTTTGCCGCATAAACGCATATCACCGCTCCCATTCACTTTCCTCTATCCCCCCTCTCTCCCCAACATAACGCATTTTTAGACCCAGAAATCGGCGAACTTATTCGAGCCATATCTCCAACCAGCCCGCCCCAAAACCGATTTTCAGTTTTTGACCTTCAAGGTTCCTTCACGACGCGAAAGAGAGCCAGTCGCTGTCGCTGTCGACGTCGACGTCGGCGGCAGCGCGCAGCAGCAGCGGCAGCGAAAAGTGAGCAATAGTCGGCGAGTGGATTTAATTCCGTAAAAAACGTTGAAACGTAGCGGACGCGTTCAGCGGACAAAAATAAAACACGGAGAGTGGACGCGTTGTTACAACTCAAAGACTCAAACACTCGACCGAGGAGAAGAGCAGAAAATAGTCGCCAAAACTTGCAGAAAAATCGCGAAAAGCCACAGAAAACAACGCGAGTGTGAAAATACATTTGTTGTACTTTTTTTTGCCGTGTGTGAGTGAGCGAAAAAAGAATGGATCGGGAGCTGAACGGCGCGATGAGGAGCGTGTCCATAAATAGCGCCCAACTGAATGGTCACAATAACGGCGGCGGTATAGATGAAACGGACCGCGTGGGCGTGGCAAGAGGAGGCGGGGCGGTACTGAGTGCAACGACAGCAACAACGGCGACCAAAACTACAAATGCAGCGACGACAAATGTAGCGGCGGCAACAAATTCAACAACTCACAGTCCGCAGCAAATTGCACTCTTATCCGCTGCAGAGAAAAAAAAGATGGTGCACGAGTTATGTCAGCAGCTGCTCTTAACGGACGAACAGGTTCAGGAGCTATGCTATCGCATCCTGCACGAACTGCGACGCGGCCTGGCCAAGGACACGCACCCGAAGGCGAATGTCAAGTGCTTTGTAACGTACGTGCAGGATCTGCCGAATGGCAATGAACGTGGAAAGTTTCTGGCCTTGGATCTGGGTGGCACCAATTTCCGGGTACTGCTCATCCATCTGCAGGAGAACAATGACTTCCAAATGGAGTCGCGCATCTACGCCATACCGCAGCACATTATGATTGGCTCGGGGACGCAGCTATTCGATCATATCGCCGAGTGTCTGTCCAACTTTATGTCGGAGCACAATGTGTACAAGGAGCGCCTCCCCCTGGGCTTCACCTTCTCTTTTCCCCTACGCCAATTGGGCCTGACCAAGGGTCTGCTGGAAACCTGGACCAAGGGCTTCAACTGCGCCGGCGTAGTCAACGAGGATGTCGTCCAGCTGCTGAAGGACGCGATCGCCCGGCGTGGCGATGTCCAGATCGATGTGTGTGCCATCCTCAACGACACCACCGGAACCCTGATGAGCTGCGCCTGGAAGAACCACAACTGCAAGATCGGTCTGATTGTGGGCACCGGAGCGAATGCCTGCTACATGGAGCGAGTGGAGGAGGCGGAACTCTTTGCCGCCGAGGATCCACGCAAAAAGCATGTCCTCATCAACACGGAGTGGGGCGCATTTGGCGACAACGGCGCTCTGGACTTTGTGCGCACAGAGTTCGATCGGGACATTGATGTGCACAGCATCAATCCGGGCAAGCAGACCTTCGAGAAGATGATATCCGGCATGTACATGGGTGAACTGGTGCGTCTGGTGCTGGTGAAGATGACCCATGCAGGCATTCTGTTCAACGGGCAGGATTCGGAGGTGCTCAACACCCGCGGACTGTTCTTCACCAAGTATGTGAGCGAAATCGAGGCGGATGAGCCCGGAAACTTCACCAACTGCCGTCTGGTGCTGGAGGAACTTGGGTTGACCAATGCCACCGATGGGGATTGCGCCAATGTGCGGTACATCTGCGAATGTGTCTCGAAGAGGGCCGCCCACTTGGTGTCTGCCGGGATAGCCACGCTGATCAACAAAATGGACGAGCCGACGGTGACGGTGGGTGTCGATGGCAGTGTCTATCGCTTCCATCCCAAGTTCCACAATCTGATGGTGGAGAAGATCTCGCAGCTGATCAAGCCGGGCATCACCTTTGACCTGATGTTATCCGAGGACGGTTCGGGTCGTGGAGCGGCCTTGGTGGCGGCTGTCGCCTGTCGCGAGGACATACTCAATAGCAAGTAGGCGCGGGAAGATCTGGAGGAGCAGGAGCCAGGAGGATGAGGAGCCAGGAGGCGGGTACCACCTCGGGAAGGAGGAGGAGCCGCTGGAGCAGCTGAAGCAGTCCTAAGAGCAACACACACAACAGCAGAGCAAAAAACACCTAGTAAACGGCCACGGTGGCGTATGCGTAATTACAGTAGAGCCTCACTAACTCACAAAAGCCCTGAAAAAAAAGCTGCCACAAAGAAAACGGAATCGAAAGCTCCTTCAAAAAAACAAAAAACATGGGGCATTTGTGAGTTAGAGCGGCTTGGCTTTAGTATTTTAATTAGGCAAAAACCAGGTTTTTAACAAGAAACGTAACAGAAAACCCCCACTAAGAGACAGAAGATCTGTGGCATTCTATCTCTTTCTCTCCTAGTTAAAAAAAAAAAGAAAACCGAAAAACACTATGCCCAATGATTATGGATCGATTTTCGATTTTTGATGAAGATTTGTTATGCTATTATATATATAATATATTTTACAAAACCATAATATACACACACAAAAAAACATAGTGTATCTAAATGTTTGCGTATATATAGTACAATTTGTGAAGCGAATTTCTTTTCGATTTCGATTGAGACAACAAATTTTTTGGTATTTCCCTTCCCAAAGACCCTTCAAAATCCCACAAAAAAGACCCCCAAAAACGGAGATACTTAAGAGCAAACGAGAGAAGAAACTGTTATACTACTGTGCTACAAGCATTCTAGCATATCCTGCAGGACAACGGATAGAGAAACTGTAAAACCGCACATTGTTAAAGCATAAACGAAAAAAGCAACAAAAAACAAGCCGCTAGAGAAGAGACAGAAAGAGAGAGAGAAAGAGAGAGAGAGGAATACTAGGTAAAGCTACGGTGTCCTTTCTGTAATTGTAAATGTTTATATAGAACCTATTACGAAGCGTTATATGATAATACTGCATACATATATATATTACATATATATATATTTATATATATATAAATATGATATATTTAGCCACTATATTACTGATTTTTTTTTGTAATGTATTGCTTGTCTTTGTTTAGTGAATTTGTTTGTTGTTAACACTTAAGCAGGTAAAAACTAAACAAAAAAAACTGTTTTTTTTTCTTTTGATATAGAAACGCACTTTGTGAGCTATTATTTATGTAATTGTACATTTGACCTAGTTTAGTGTTTAGTTCTTATCTTAGTTTCTAAATGTCGTCGAAGAAGCCAGCAATACAACCAATATATATCCCCACCCCAAAACCCGACCCACAGAGCCCTTAATTATATTTAATTATTGTTTACGAACAACAACGGAGAGAATGCGAGAAGCAAAAGGCAAATAAGCGAAATGAAAAGCAAATAAAATTTGTTCTTAATTCATACACAAGTAATTGTTATTTATTTCCATAACTGTTTGGTATTTTAAGGTCTTTTTCGGTATGATTTGGTCTTTTTTTGGTATGATTTGATCTGTTTCCTCTATTTAAAATGTTTTATCATCATTTTTGCAGCTGCTGGCCGGCATGCTCAGGCAACAACAACAACATAAACAATTCGCAATCATAGCAAAACGAAGATACATTTTTTTGGTCTAATAATAAGCAGAGGAAGCCTAAGAAATATGTTAAAAAGAATATAACAAAAAAGCGAACCGGTGTTTCTATTTTTCAACAAAAAAGTTTGTAAAATAAACTTAGCCCATGTTAAAAAGATAAAACTGATTAAAACTCTCGTTATCAAAAAGCGATTTAAACATAAATTAACTAAAAACTACACACATAAACCACAAATCGAAGGTTTGGAGAAGGAGATGAATTTAGTAAATGATATTAACAAAAGGAATGTTTGTCGACAGTGAAACAAATAAAAATGATTGAACCAAAAAGAATAAAAAAATCTAATGGAAAACAAAATATGTGTGGAACGTGTTCTTGTGGGTCTGATATTGCGATATCTATTTATTTAAAATTTTATTCTCGTTTTATTGTCGCTGCATTTTTTATTATTGTTGCTGCAGGCTAAAATTATACATCATCAGAGGCAATAACAATCAGTCAGCACTTTGCTAGCTCAATTTTGTTATTTATATTACTTGAATATACCCTATACGCAAATAAGGGTGTTTCTATTTGAGCAGCTTAAATAATTACTTTTCGTGCGAACACTAAACTGGATTTTTATTTTTCAATAACTATAAAAAATTAAAACATCTGGTTCAACCGTATAAATTTTACTTTTTTGTAGATACGTTTATTATCCACCGCATTTTTTAACAATTGTAAGCAGTGTTATTTTATTTGCTTAGCTGTTTTTAATTTTCAAGTCATTCACTTACAATATTTATTTTCAGATCACTTTTAAATATTTCTATGTATACTCCAATACACGGTGGGTATCTTCAGGTGAAAAACAAGTTATAAGCAAATTAGAATGGAACCCAATAAATAATGATAAACATTGTAATCATTATTTCAGATACAGTATTATAAAGTAATATTTTATATTTTGAGTTACAAAATGAAGGTATATCGTATTTTCTCTTTTTTACAGGGTATTACCATTGCCGCAATCAGCCGGTGCACTTGAGTCTTACGTCGTTTTTCGCTTTTGTAGTCCATTTTAAATTGAATCATTTGCAGTTGGGTTTTCGTTTGACGCATTTGAATTACAAGTGCTGGGATCCGAGGCAGACAAAAGGCTTGATTGAGCCATTGATCGCAAAAGGGAGGGGTGACTGATGAGGCGGTTAAGCAAGCGTTCGATAGCCGCTCGTGCAAACGCCAAAGTCTCTGTATAAAATATGGGGAAATCACGGGGGTAAATGAAAGGGGAGCAAAAGTACTTATTTTCTATTATAAAACCTCACAGAGCTCGAGTTCCGCGAAAGTTGTTTATAGAATTTCAAATGAAACGATTCTCAGGGAACCATTACAGCCAGAATGAGATGGCGATACACTGCAATCTCAGCTAAGTCGCGATCACGTTTTACTGCGGCACAAACCCAATTTAAATATCTTGAATGCAAATATAAACTTTTAAATGCTGAAGGCAATTTCAACTCGTCTGCGACAGCGGGAATCCCAAATTGGAGATACCCTTTGGGTAATGAGATGTTTGGATTTCCCATTACTTTTTTTTTTCGGTGCTTAAATTTGGAATGTATTTTTTTATCAATCATATTAAGTATTGGAAACACTATTTATGGAGGATGCAAGTTTAGATAGTAACTATCTAAGTAATTAATCTTACTCAAGCAAAACATTAGTCCTCGCCCTCTTTACCTCTTGTCTCTACAGTTTTAAATGCTCTTGAGTTCACATTGCAGTCGTTACCTCTTGTCTCTACAGTTTTAAATGCACTTCAGTTCGCATTGCAGTCGCATTAACCCTCCCCAACAGTATTGCAACCCCACTTAGCCCCAATTAACACTTGATGCCCTTGACTGTGAGTCCTCCCCTTGTCTCCTCTAAAAATCCACTCTACTGTTCTTATCTATCCCATTCTGTGGCTTATCAGAGGCTCACGCCCTCCCCATGCAATAGCACTGCATCGTCGGTGATTAGGAGGTGACTTTTCTAGAAACCCCCTGATTAATTTACCACCTCATTAGTAGTTCCCCTTTTATTTTTACTTCATTGTACATTTCAGGAAGGGAACCTTCTTGTGAACAACGTTGCGTATGCGCAATTTGATAACAGTAGTTTTTCATGGATTATAATTGCAAATACAATTTTATTTTTAGAAATTTAAGTACCTGGCGTTTCATGATAATTCTTTAAAGATTCAGTTAAATTTCCCTTGATTGTAAGTTTCTGAAAAACGCTGCGTATGCGCAATATGGGCAATTGAGAGCTATTTTTCGTGAATATCTTAATCAACCGCTAATCTTTTTAGCTAAGATGTTTTAGATCTTTCACCCCAAGAGTATTTTCGATCTAAGCAAAAAATGTATACAAAAGTTAAATAACTTATCAAAATATCACGTATACGTCACCGAGTCCCCGAATCAGGTGGGCGTTGACCACGCCTCAGCGGAAAGTAGCAGTCGCCTCCTACGTCAGTTGAAAAAAGATTTATCATTGGACGATTGGCGAGACAACAAAATTCTTTTCAACATTTTTAAGAGCCCTGACAGCTTTTTGTTGTTGTCGAATTTTTCGCGTTAATTTCGCGGCAATTTTACAAAATATGCTTTGTATTTTCGGTGCGCCAGGCAAAATAAATATCAAAAACATTTTTTCTGAAATAGTTTCAGTTCGTCGTGAGCTAGAGAATCGAAAACCAAATACGCAATAATAAAAAGATGTAGAGAAACGGGCACCAGAGAGGTTGCAGAAATTTGACGGCTGGCAAATTTGCTCACTTGCTCTGCAACTAGCCCTCTCTCTTTTCCCCATTTTATCACTCGCTCGCACCTTTTTAGAGCTGGCTTTGTTGTTATGCAAATACTAAAAAGCATTTCAAACGCCAGCAAAATGCAATTTTTGAAAGTGTGAAATTGAAATGCAAAAATGAAAGGCGAAAAAAAAGGCAACAATCATGTGAGTGCCAAGCAACAACAATTGCGTCTCGCCAATATAATCATATTCAATATTTATATTCACAATGTTCTTTGTTTATTTTTCGTTTTTGTTTATTTTTCTATTTTTTTTACAACTTACAAACGAATGATTGTCAGCAGTCGACTACTTACAGTGTTCTATAAAGTTATTCGCCTTTGGTTGATTACAAAATTATGTTTTTAAAGGCTTTTTCAAGAAATTTTAAGTTTATATCAGGCCGGAGTATGTAGATATGAAACATAACTTTTTTAATTTAAATGCCTATTTCCTTTTTATAAAACAAAAACAACGCAGTCACAATGTAAGTTAAAAGCCTTCAAAATTTAAAAATAAAGTTTAGTTTTTATTGTATTATAAATCACATTTAAATAATAATTTCCTTTAGGCAGATCAGTTGTTTCACCTTATTTTATTATTTACAAAATCATTAATTTTGTATTATTTGTATCAACTATAAAACTGCAGAAATAGTTATCCAAATGTTTTGCCTTAAGTCGTTCCTGGTGAATGAAGCTTTCACTTGCGGATATGGAATGCAAACATAAATAGAAATCTTAAAGCAGGTCGGAAGACTTAAACCAGTTTAGATGAATGCACTTCACATGTAATCATGGCAGCCACTTCAAATTACAGGAAGGAGCAAAAGCAATGAAAATAGTAGGGGTCCAAAAGGGGTGGACAATTTTCCAGGAATCAACTACCCAGCAGTCAATTTACTGCTTTTATAACAAAATAACCAAACAACAAACTATTTATAGAGTTCCTAACCACAAACATTATCCAAGCTATCCAAGTTTTGAAACCGAAAAGGGCTAATTAAATCTTTATGATTAACATGAATCCGCTAACAATAGGATGAAGAATAGTTAAAACTTTCATTGAAATTAGTCTGATTGTGGCTTCAGCAAAGTCATGTTTTATTTGTGAATATTTGATAAATACCACTTAGTACAGAGAAAAACCAAAGTTCAAATTCCAGTTATATTTCTGGTTTGACATTCTTTGACATTCTCTTTCCCTATAAACGGGCTATATCTCAGATATGAAATCTTATCGTTCGGCAGCGTGATAAAACCTTTGATTTCGCAGTCGGTAGCTTGGACTTGACAATTGCAATATTTGCGATTGCCTAGATACGGCGAATAAAGATTGCTAAATAATGGCTATGATATGGGGTATTTAAAGAGTCAAGATGGTGAAAGAGTTATGTCTCACATAATTAAGAGAAATCATATAAACCTATATATAATAAATTAAAACATCCAAAATAAAACAATGATTAAACATCACAGGGAGACTACTAAAATTTTAAAAATAAAAATGATGATCGAAACATATACTTTTTCCAGTAAATTCCCCATTGGGTTTTGCACTTTTCCACACCAACATTCAAAACCACAATCAACAATCATTCAGAGATGGTTGCCGTCATTTCCCTCGACGATCTTTTTTATTGCTGTTGTGTTCAGGGAATAATTAGGGTTATTAGTTTATAACTCTTTTGTTTTTTTGTGCCATTAAAACAATTTGGTTTGCCTAATTATAGTGGCTTTTTGTGTTGGCGAATACTTTTGAGTGCCGGTGTCACCGATCGTGTGCCTTGTTGGGAACTTGTAGCAATTAATTTACTGCTAAATTGCTTTAATTACATTTCAATTTAATCCGTCAAATACAACTAAAAATAAATATAATTGTAACAAAAGAAAAAGGGCGGAGAAAATGAGTAATCAAAGTAACAGGGAAAGAACAAACAAAAACCGTATGTGATGAACTTAATTGAGTGATATAATACGGGTAATTAAGATGAAGATTATATGGAGATCGT